TTCACAAACTTGCAAAAATATGCAAAAGTTCTGTTGTAGTATCGTAAATATAATAATTAGTTTATTAATAATAAATGGATTAACAGAAAACAATGGTTATTTTTCATGAACTAATCGTAATTAATTAACAACTCTCGTCAACATAGATTCAACTCTCTCTCAACAACGCTAACAACACTATCTCGAGAACGCAATCCGCACTCGCTGGCTTCTCAACTCATACCGCCGTTAATTCGTTTATGTCCCTTAGCAACCCTTTGTCTTTTGTCTTATATCTTTTGTTTAAGCCCCATCATGCACATGCTCAGCAACCGCTTGCTTATAATTCGCACGACACCCCCTTCCCCAGGCCCCTCGACCACGATACTATAATATCGTACGATGATGAGTTAAGAACAACGACGTACAAACCCCCCCCCCCCCCAGACCTCTCGTCCACGATACTATACTATAATAAATGAAAATGACTGAAAATGTATCGAAATAAATTGTGAAAATTAAATATCGAAAGAATTTATAAAGGAAGATATAAAAAGACTCATTTGTTTCTCCGATACAAAGGACCATGCGCTCAAATCTTTTCGGAGCTGTTTTACCACCAATCTAAAGCATCCAATGCACATACAGCCACTTTTTTCGAGTTTTGCAGTTGTTCGCATCTGCTTGTTAGAATGTTATCTGAAAAATGTTTGTAGTAAGCATATTTAGATCAGTCATTAAAGTATGAGCGATAAAGGCGAATGTCACTGATGAACTCGAAAGTTTAAATTATGAATCTTTAAAATATATTTTTAATAGAAATACTTTTCATAGAAGGAAGGATTTTATAATAAACTGTGAAAGCTGTAGTACATATTTTACACATAAGTATTTAGCAGGAATTTAATATAGAACGATCCATTGTTCTGTAACTATATAATAGCGGCAATTATCGAACTATTGCAAAAGATTTCTTCTCTGTACGGTTAAAAACATTCATAAAGCATGTTGTAAAAGGAACGCGCAAAAGGAACATGGGAAAAATCGTAAGTCGAAGTACATTCAGCATGCACGTACTAGGCGTTTTTTATAATGGAATTCCTGGCATCTCTGCACCCGGTTACCAGGTTCACTCGCTACTGAAAGTTTAACGAGGTATGTCGGAATCCGTGTAGCGTTTTTGTCGCACTTTTGTAACATGAATTTTGTCGGTTCGAATGAAATTTTCAACGTTAACGGCAAACGAATAAAAGCAAAGAAGTTTTAACGCTTCACTATGAATGTAATTCATCGATTGAATTTGACATTTGCATCGGGATATCGCGTCCTTTATAACATTCCTAAATATCGTTCTTGTGACAAAAAGTCACATTTTTGTCGTAAGCTGTTGAATAAATTTTAGACATAGTTTATTATAGCCATGTACACGCTTATAACCTGTAGTTGTACATACGCTAGCAGTAATATGATTGACAAACGTTCCGGTATAGACACGTTACTGCAGTACCTTTTGCCTTCGATCGTTTAATTTAATTCCATTTGCAAATTACATTTTTTATTTCTTAGTTTCTCACGATGTTAAATAACGTTATGTGTTTATGCATAAAAGTATGTTTGGTAGTATGTGTAAATAATAATAAATGGTAGTAATCGAATTTACGATATATTAAAAAGTTGCATGAAATAAAGATTCAGTTGGTTCGGTTGATGCTGGCGAATATTAATCTAACCCAACCTATAACCCGTTAATTTATCTCTATTTGTTTATATTAAAGATGATTAGCATCAATGACTTAAGTTTACGTTGGGCTATGTAAAAGTGTGATGAAAACTAAATTTAATTGAAATTTTGTAAACATGTCGGAAACGCCAAGCGACGATGACATGTATAAAAACTCGTTAAAATCGGTGAGGTGCGCTCTTTTCTATATAGTTATAATTATTTATTTTCACGCTGTAAATATGAAATCAATACATCGTCAAATAGTTCCCCCAAATAGTCGAAAGAAATATTTCTTCGTGCAATTTATTTCGTATAAAAGTTTCAAACGATATAGAAAATTAATTTTGGTAAAGACGAAAAAAAGTAAAAATATGAGACGATCATATAAAGGAGGAAAAAAGGATAATGTTACGTTTTATCGTGTCGAGATTTATAGTTACACTTATATTTATATTTTTAATTAAAATATACGTATAGTCGAATGCATATCTTTGGAAATTGATAGAAAAATAGCAATAACGCTTAAATGGCTTTAGTGGAATTTTTCACATTCCATTGTTCAACTATCTTCTCTATATATTGGAAACTTAAACAATATAAACTTTCGGGCTGCTGATACTCTAACTGTATTTTAATTACACATTCTACTGTACGTGATAAATTCTTTCGTTTTAATTGAATTTTCATTGGCTATCGTTTCTCTACAAGTAAAATATGGAAAAGTCTGGATATGAAAGAATATCTTGAATTAGTAACTACTGATGTAAATAATGCAAAGTCAAAAGTGGAAAACGTTTAAATTCTTATAAAGCATATTATTTAATCGATTTAAAAATTTCTTTATGCCTGTTTGTTATACTGCTCTTTACAGTTTCCGGAAATGGAATATGTTACATGCGTTGTCTAGTGTCTAAAAAATTATTTAGACGTAAATAATTAAATTCTGTGTACTTTTATGTAAACTCGTGGACAATATTTAACGATACTATAAATAATAGGTAAATAAATGTTACGTTAATCGATTTATGGTACTTTGTATTTGTAAATTAAAAGCTTATCCCAAAAATACATTTGAAGAAATTATACAGGATCGCCCGCATAAAGTGCCTTTTTTGATTTCTTTTAATTTTAATGATACAAGAGGACTGATATTTGAGGAATGAGAGATTTAATGATTATTGGAGAACACGAGAGGACAAATGTTTGAAAGTGAACGATCACCGTTTTGAACGTTTAATGAAACGATTTAATAAAAGAATTTTACCTGACAGTACGTCTATTTTAATTACCCTTTGAAGTCTCCCGTAGTCTTCCTTTAGACCTTTCATTCGTCATAGCTCTTTAGCACGTTCATCGCCCAGGTGTATTTTCACAGAACTCAAACGTGTTTCCGCTAACACCTACTTTTTACGAACACCTAGAAATATAATGCGAAATAAGACGATAATGCGAAAAATGCTGTTGGATTAGTGCGGGAAGTGAGTGCGTGTGTAACTGCGAAAGTTTAATCAACATATTAATGTTTTTCTTTCTTTCGTTAGTAACGGTCAGTTTTTGAAGAATAAATCAGAAATATAGACGTGCCTTCCTCGGATAGAAATTAATTTAATGAAATAATTATTCTAACGAGAATTATTACATCTTATAATTTATTGGATTTAATAGATGCTATAGAGTAAATAAGAAAAAATTCAGTTGAGAACTTGCAAAAGATCTTACAAAAAAAGTAACCTAATTCTATGGAATCTGTACTAGCAATCTTTACTATCGCTTGCTATACTTTATTGCGGATCATCGTAATATGCCCATGTAATCTTTTTCGTAAATAAATGTATCACACTTTCTACCAATACATCTTGTTTGTTACGCTCTTTTACAACTGTTAACGAATAATCATAGCGTTGGGTATACGTAAGTAATTACATATTGCATGTATTTTAAAATATTTTTCACGCGTCGGTTACCAGTGGGGCACATTGCGTAAATGGGAAGCACAGTGACAGTTACCGGTGACTGTCATGGCGGTGATTGTATTAATTACGCAAAATAACGAAGATATTAACATTAAGTAAATGTTCAGAAGAGTTATCTAAATAAACAGGAATGAACATGACATACTATTAAAAAAGAGATGAAAGCTATGCCAGAAGAATCTCTTGTTCCTCAAGTAATCAGTTCTCTCATATCACTTTATGTGTACCGCCCTACGTACATATATTAATAAATAAATAATATATAACACAGGATCATACAGTCACCTAGGTCGAGCCACGTTAACAACTTCTTTAATTTTGGAGATGAGGAGAAATGTTTACAGCGAGTTGTGTAGTTCCTAGGGAGCTATTACACGGTGGACAGAACTCGCGAATTTGCTTGAAAGATTTGAAGGTTATCTATGACAATATAGATCTTTTGGGCTACGATGTAGTTCTAACGAATGAAAAATAAAAAGTCACAATATATGCTCTTAAAACACGATATTCACAGTTTTATCGGCAGGATCTCATTCGGTGTGTGGCGGCACTCGACCACGGAAATTTCCAACGGCTTCGCGACACGAAGCGTTATACTTTCAAAGCGCAAGGCCATAGGCCTAATGTACCATCGATATCCTTACGATATCCCTTCTTTCGCCGAATATTCGGAAGAATGCATACGCGGCAATCGTCGCGCACTTCTAATAAACGCGCGCGTAGTGGGAATATCGAGGGGCAACAAAGAAAAGAATCTGCTTGATTTGGAACCAAAACATTCATTCTGCCCCGAGCTGCGAAGTGCGAAAGGTTAAGCAAAGCAAACATAATTAGAGAAACGGGTTATTGACTCTTGATAGTTCAATGTTAATCGTTATTTAATCGTTATTTGTTGCTAATTGTTAAGAGTTTAATAAACATTCTTGCGGGCCCCTTCACCGACGATCACATCAGGTGAATTCAAAACGTATACGACTTTTGTCTCAAACATTTTTCCGTATTTCGAAAATTGAAAGAGGTATTCACGTAAATCCATCGTTTAAGAATGTCGAAAATGCGTAGCGAAGGAATCGATTCGATGCATTTTTAATCGTCACATACGGACGAGTATTCGTGTACAAAACTTGAGCGAGATAAAGTCCATATGCTTCGGAAACAGCTCCATACAGAAATACCAGGAAGAAAAAGGAGTTAAGTGAATGGCACAGGCACCCAGGAGAATGTGCGAAGCTTATTCAGAGTAGAAGCGAAATCCTTCGTCTTTCGAGAAAGCGTTGAAGATGTCGAGCACGTAGCTTGGTACCTGATCATTGCCTGAAGCTTACCATGGGAAATATATGAGAATGCTGACACAGGATCGTCCAAAATGTTTCACACCAACTCGAATCCCAGTTATAAATACTTTTCGTGACTTTTTTCTTGATTTTTCAGGCACGATAGCTGCACTGTAAACGCATAAAAGAAAAAAGGAAAAATAAAAGGATGGAAAATAACGTAAATCTTCTTTTCTAAGGAGATTATATTTTGTCCTTAAGTACTAAAAACTCGCGAATTTTTTAATCATTTTTTCTTTAAATTTGCCTAAATAATTATAACATGTATTGCAATTTTTAAAGTATATCCCTCAAAGTTTTTCAATAATCCTGATATTATTTCTTCCCTAAGCCCTGATTAAGCAATACAAGTTTCCGCGTTTAAAAGTTTCACTTGTCTAGCTACGTATTTTACAACGGTGAGTTGGGTAATTAAGTTGCTAAAAGACTTTGTTCGATAGATCAGCAACTATTTAAAAGCTAGTCGAGTGCTGAAACAACAAGTTTCACCTTCAAGACGTAAAGTTCTATTATTTATTAAGGGGTCACGTACGTACATTCGTTCTTCTTCGCAACTACGTGTAGGATTTATAGGCAGACCGAAAGTAAAAACATGTACACCATAAAACACGAAATGTACGATATTTAAAAAAATATTAATCAACGATGTTTACGATATTAATTAAAATAGCTGTTCCGTGCCTGCTCTTCTGCTTGTATGCCGCATATTCGGCAATTTAACGAAAAATTCCAAGATGAAGTAGACATTTTACAAATCTATAAAGAAAGCATAAATGTGTAAGGCGTGGCTAAAAACGTTAAGAGGGGGAATCTCACGGGGGAAAATTAATTTCAGGATTCAGTGAGTTTGGCATTGTATTAAGTTTGAAGGGATAGTTGATATCGCAGAAGCACGTGTGCACGCGAGACATAAGCTGATTCCAAAATCATTTGTACAATTTATCTGACATCCTGACTAGTCGAAACATCGACGTAACCAGACTGAAGGGCCGTGATCGTCCGCAGATAGATCGTAGCGATTCGATTGACCGATCAACTGGAGCACACGCAGTTACGGCGTACCAACCAGGAATCAGCTATTGGAGATGAAGGGACGCGAGTAGAGAGGACGTTGTCGGGCAACGTTCCGCTCGCTACCAGTCGAAAGGGGGTAGGAAGTTGGGGAAGAGGAGGCGCGAGAGGAGGCGGCTGATGTGGAGGACGCTCGAGGGGGTAACAGGTCGGATGTCCGGCAGTCCGTCACCGACTATCCCCCAGTATCTCCGGCGTGGTCCACCGCGTCACAGCGACCGGCCTGCAGCCATATCGCCAGCTACATAACAAGTCCTGAATATGCATATATTCGACTACAGAGGACCGCTTCACTAACCCCGACACCCTTGTGTACACGGCTTTACTTACACTCGAACCGTGTCTCTTGTGTGCGTACACGCAGTTGCTCATACGTTCGCGAATCTCGGTATAGCGACGCGCGAGCTGATCCTCTTCTCTTCTCTTCTCTTCCTTCTAGCGTACACGCGATCCTATACGCTTCCCGACATCCTATATAATATATAGATCTCATTCTCTGTATCCGTGTTCGTCCTCTCGCATCCAGACACATATCACCCTTACCCTTCTCGGCCGCTCGATCGCGTTCACCCATCTCTGTTCGTCTCTCTAGCTACTTGATTTTCTGCTTTGCTCTGTCAACATCGTCTCTCTCGTTTCCACTTGGTCATCGACGAAGCACCATTGACGCCAGTTCACTGCCTGCCAACGCAAGAATTTATGACCGTGTATGCCGCGTCAGCTCATATATTCACGGTCGGATTTTGACATATCGCGTGCATTACGGACATTCTAATTACCTACTCTCTCATACAAATACATATCTTTGGCCTACAGAGAAAAATTTCCCTGCTCCTTTGTTCCGCTTTCTATCTTTGTCAAGAAAATGCACGGCGTCCGTGTATGCCAGGTGCGTACATACCTACGAAACTTGTTGATCCCTAATATATAGATTAGGTAAACTTGGAATACCCAAGCTGTCCAGTAAGAGTATTAAACAGGAAATCGATAGGTTCATATTAAAACTTTAAAGACGCGTTTGAAATTGCGAATGATCGTCATTGGAGAATTGAAAGAAGAAAATACTTTGTTTTAAAAGGCATTGGAATAACCATCGGAACATTCTCAATGAAAATACCGCATTTCTCAGGTGCAGCTTCAGCTTCGCATCCAGCCTTTCCAATCGAGTCAGTGGCGTTCACATAACAGAGCTGCGTCGACGTATCGTCTTTGTACGCTGATCTGACTCTCTGCCGTCCCTTTGATGCAATAGCTTTGCCGTCTTTTTAAGTTTCCTAGTTTCCCCACTATGCCCCTTCTACGCCCTCTTTCTCCCTCTCGCTACCACTTTCTATTTACCTGTCTAGGTGTATCACTGTTTTTCTATTCATGTAGCTACCGCTCTTTCCTCGTTTTCCTTTCTCTCCTTTATTCGACTGCTCGCCATTCGGCGCCGTTTGACACGACGATCGCGAACCATTTGAAAGTTACCAGAGAAAAGAGAAAAGAGGAGCCGTCCCTGCCTGGGCCGTATCAGAGAGGGGTCAGACTCGATAAAAAGACTGCAAGTTTAATGGACGTCGAGCCATCTCGAATGCAGACTATTCCTAGTAGCGTGTCTGTGTCTCCGTCACTCTTGCGCATCTTCGTTTTCGCCTAACGCGTTTTAAATCATATTAACCACTGAAGTATCTTGCTTTGAAAGCGAATTTTAAACGATAAATTTGATTAGTGATCTTTCAATGCTGCCCGATATTAACAAAATAGCAAAGATCCTGCAATCGTAACCCCAATTTCAATCTATTATTCAGGGCGAGTCCAGAAATTGGGCCGAACGATAACTCTGTTCCTGTTGTGGATAAAAAAAAGAACTAAAGGAAAATTTTGCATTGTTTATCATTATCGTGCTGTGCGTTTTTCTTTTTTCTTTTACAGAAGTATAACGATATACTTTTTTTAATGGAACCCAATTGTTCGATTGTGGGCAAGAAGGATCAAAAATATTAGGATAAAATCACTAAGAACTCGATAATTTTCGAAATATGTAACTTTTCTTTGAATGTCGACAAGAGCTCCAGCACTTTATCACTACGTTCTAACATTTTCTCACATTTTACGTTACGTTGTTCATTTATTCACCACTTACAATAAGTACTTAAGTAGTTTCTTTTAGTTCTTTTTTGTAAAAAAAGCTTTACGAGAAAATGTCAAGGAGATTTAAACAAGGTGAACGCGACGTGCAAGACGTCGGACTGTCTGTCCCAAACCATTTTAATGGCTTTCATTTAGCTTACTTTTCTGTTTGTCCGTCTGTCTGAGTGAAATTTTGTAAGCGAAATTTTTCTCGCTTCTCGACCAACCAGGAACCTTGTACACGCGCTTATTTTCTATTAGAATACTAAAGATATTAATTTTTAAAAAACACAATTCCCTAGTATCTACAAAGTAAAAGTGGAAGAATGTTCGGCTGAAATCATGAATCCATTGATCTAACCAAATAGAGAGTCTCTGAAAATGTTGAAATCCTAAAAACTTTGCGACTACGTTAATATGTGAGTCCGCCAGTTTTTTATTTTATATGATTGCCGCGTGTGCTGAACATGTACAGTTCTCGCTATATATTGCTGTTACATTCGATTACCTTAACGATACCTCATTGGAAAAATTATTTCCTTGTTTTCAGTAAATTCTTAAATGAAAATCATTTTCTTCAATTTTTTTAGTTTATATATTTTACTTCTCCATAGGTCGATGTTAATTGATTTGAGTTCCACACATACCAATACGCATTCTTAAATAAAAATTACCTAATATTTATTTTCTTGTCCCTACATTAGTTTTACTTATTTTTCGTAATAAATGCAAAAAAGCTCTCTGTCATTCGAGAGATTTTTGTTTAAAGTCACCAATTTCGAACGCGTTTTTATAGATCGTCTCTGTACTGCCTTACAACTTAAATTTGTAATTGCTGCCCTATTCTTTTGTTGTACTCTTATTATCTGACTCCTTCCAAATTATATTTTTTTTTTGTTTGCGACAATGGACATTGCACGTGCTTGTAAGTTTCTAAGTAAATAAATAAATATATCTTTTTCAATTATCTCTCAGAAATGAACGAGAAATCTAAAGATAAAGAACTGAACTTTGAAGATCAACCGCAAGTTTCTTTGTTAAAAAAAATTCAGTTATGTATATATTTGTTTTGGATTATTATCATATATATAATAGCAACGGTCTTATAATTAAAGTTGCCATGCAAAGTATTAATTAAATGCACGGATACTCGATCAATTCTGAAAATCAATTTTCTAACAAATTGTCTAAAAAATTGATTTTTGTGTCGTGAAAGATACTTTATCGTTTCGATTTATCTTCGGCCATGGAATGACTCTTCCTTATCCCACTCGTACCACGAATTACGGTCCACTCGGTATCTTCAGAAATCCTCTAATTCCTATTGATCCAATTAATAAAGACTAGTTTTACAAAATTTGGTGACCAACGGGCGTATTAATCCATGCCGTATCGGAGCTTTCCAGCGCAATTAATTAACTGTCAAAATAGGCGTCGCTTTAATTCCTGTTCAATATGGCTAATTATGCGTAATGCAACCGAATATGGATGGTTTCATGAAAATTACAATTTTATTAGTGACATTTACAATATAATCGCTTACTTGTATCCCTTACATAAGAATGTATGTTTCTAAAGCAAAAAAAAAACATTTATTTTCGTGTAAAACATTTACTACTACTTAAAAACTTGTAAAAATAGCTGATATGGTAGATATTATCGACTGAAACTCTATTTTTAAAAATTATTTCAGGTTAGTTATTATTTTTAACTTAGACCTTAGCAATTAAATATAATATTCCAACTATCGATTTCTAGGCAGCAGGGTCCCTTCCATTTATATAATGTTGATATTTATAGCTGAAAATTCAAAGACAACAAACCTTGCGCTTCCAAATGTTTACCTTCTGTGTTCCTAGATGATAAACAATTCCACCTACATTAACGATATACATATCGTTTCGTCCAAAGGAACGAAAGCGCGAAGAGTTTCGTGGATGACTTACAATGCTCCCTTTCGCAGTCGATGCGTTATTTTAAAACGGTACTTTAACAGCTAAAACGATTCGTAGCATTATTTTTAATTTTCTATGCCTCATTCTAGTACCAACAGACGAGAGTGATGTAAACGTGAGTTTCTTGGAAGGATAATTGACGAATTTTGACGGTCCGAAGCCTCAGACTCGTCCAGGTATCGATCACGCGCTTCCCGCTAAGGATCTACCACACTTGGAGCGCATTCACGCAGTAAACGACGCCTTGCGAGCGAATATGCCGATTGGCGATTTTCTTGAAAAGCAATCGGCGTGCGAATCTCCGCTTTGGGCCTTGTTGAACGCCCGCTCGAGTCTCACACGACATCGGCAGTCTCGTTCGAGTCGTTCAATCGTGAACATCGATCAGAGAGTCAGTCTGCGTGCCTTCAAATCGTTAAGCGTGAAGTAAAAAACCGTTTCAATCTCTCAGAGCCCTTCAAGCGCTTGTGCAGATAAAATCGTTTCGTCAGTCGTAACGATCGGTTGATGGTCTTCTCAACTGCCTTCTTTAGTTCGTCAACATCTTCAAGCGTGCGTGGACATGGGTGCAAGTGGAGACAGAGTCGTTCCATCAGGCGTAACGGTCAGTGGACAGTCGTGTGCGAAATCTTCAGCTGTGAATATCTCCAAGCACACGTGGAGGAAAGTATCGTCTTAACGAGCGAACGATTGGTAAACAGTCTCAGTGCGGGTCCTTCAAATGCGAGCAGCATCGACACGCGTTCGTGGACGAATGTATCGTTGACCGTTCGTATCGTCGTACGATAGTTGGTCGCATTTGTTCAGTCGTTTCGTAATCTCGATTTAATCGTCGAAGACAAGTCGAAATTTTCTCATCGCTTGTTCTTTGCGCATTGAGTCATTACTCTTCCTCGTAAATTTGTTACTCAGGGTAAATTAATAAAGTTGAAAAGCGCGGTATCATCGATATCGGACACGTATTGTTATTTCCTTAAATTGTATCAATATTATCAGCAAATAAGTATCTTCTTACTTAATGTATATGACTTTTGAAACATTGAAAGATTATTATTACTCGTCTACTTCAATATTGATTAAGACATTTCCTTAATTGTGGTTAAACTCATGAAACATTTCCTACTTGTGTGAGAGACTTTAAATTGATTCGAAGTAGTATTTTACAGGAAACTGATGAAACTAATGAGTTAGATATTTATATAATTAAAACTCATTTGTATTTTTTAATTTTTTTACGAATATGTTAATTTTGACAGTACGATTTCGCTCTACACTTCCACTGCGTTAGATCAGTGCTGGGTCAAATTTATAGGAAAAATATTTTAAATATGAAGTAGTATTATAAAAAAATAAAATATCTTTATTTTCACAATGTGATGTATAAAATAAAATATTCTATCTTTGTATTGTAAATAGTGTAGCATCGTGGAATAATCGTAAGAAGAAACTCGCTAGGAGTACGAATTACGATGTAGATAGAAAGTGGAATTTACAATGGGCCATGTGGTCCTTCGGAAAAGTAGTTACTTGGAAAAGGCGCACGTGACCATCTCTGGTCATGGACAGCTGCGGAACACGTGCGTGTGGTGGAAGTACGAAAATTGTGATAAGGGGATGCTTGGTGGAGAAAGTCAGTTAGTCGTTGTTCATTAGTTGCGGGTTAGTTGCGAGTTGTCGATTGTAGTGAGTTGTGAGTTGTCACTCAGAAGTTGAATAATTGTACAAATTTAGTTATTTCAGTTGTATTACATTACTACATTAAGCTCTAATTAAATAATCATCGCTTTCCTGCTTCAATCGTTATAAATAAATCTATGAAATAAAGTCAATATAGAAGTATTATACGTATATATGGCGTTTCAAAGAATACAAAAATACATGTGTGATGATTTCCTGCGCGCAGCGGAAAAGAAGTTGAAAATGTAAAATGACATGTTTTACTCTTTGTTTTCGCGAAAATCAATTATGAAATTCCCTTTACTTGACTTTACAGTCCATTTTTTTGAAAACGAAGCCAGGCAAGATTTTGCATATCTTTTTTATATTCATACACATTTGTATGTTTTGTAAATATTTTTTTATGCGATAATATGAAATAATAAAACAAAATACCTCAGCTAACGTCCATACCGCGTTGAATGTACTCGTTCTCGTCCGATCACGAAAGTTTAAGCAGCGCTGGGCACGGATAGTACTTGGACGTGTGACCGCTTGGGAACTCCGTGTGGTGTTAGCATTTTTTATTTTGGAAAAAAATATATTTTTAACGCGACTGTCACCATGCATTGTGTCATTATCTCATACACGTACAAATAAATTAGCACACGTTTTCAAACTAAGAAGTCACGTTTCTTGATATGCTGAAATTTGATGGTATCAGATTGGTATACGAAACTGTCAGTCTAATTTTTGACTTCTGTTGCACTGAGAATCGAGTACCACCGAACAAAGTATCCGAGCACAAAGGATCCGGCTCGATCGACTGTCGTTACCTCTCGAGTGTATCCGTACTTGATACAATTTCAACGTCGATTTTCTTGAAAACGTAGCCTTGTATCAAAAATTGTCAATCCACATTTTCGATTTACTTTTGCACGAGAATCTTCTACTTTCGGCTTGTACCATGATTTTTGGTACACTCCAGTTTGAAAATACTTGTTTTTAATGTATATAAATAGAAGTACGAACTTCCTGATAAGTTGAATTCGCGAATCCTTACCACCTATATACTGCAAGAATACGAATGGCTTCGAGGACTAAGAAAGCTAACACTAGTGATGTAGAGTTTTCCTAGAAGTGAGAATAACTTCAACATGAATAAAAAAGAAAAATGAACGGATTATAGGTTGGGCTAGAGTAGCAGCCGGCCGAAACTAAATTTTCAAGCAATCTATTGACGTATGAAATGTTGCACTGTCTTATTCGTATGTTCATCACATACATAGTAATAATTAAAATCAGTAGACATACATCTAACCCATTAATCTAATCCAATCTACGGGTTTGACCCATTTATTTTTTTTTATTTATATTAAAGATGACTAGCACCAATGAGTTAAATTTAGATAAAAAATACAGTCACTCGTGTGCCAGAATTATAGAAAGAGTAGAAGGGTTGTATCTGTACATCGAATAAACAAGAAATAAAGCGGATATCCAGGAACAACTCATCAGCTATGGAATCCAAAAAACTAATTTTAACTTAAAAAAATGTTGCCTCTCTGCTTGTTTGTCTGTTCGTACTCGCATCACGTAAAAACTACTGAACAAATTTCGATCAGGGTTTCTCCGTTATATAGCGTAGTGTCTTGGAAAGAAAATTGGATATGTTTCATCTCGACCCGTTTTGTAGAAGCTGAGAAACAGCCTTGCATTTGAATTGTATCCGCTCCAATGTTTGATCGTCGAGCAACGATGGTTATTGTTTATGTCGTGTTTGTTCTGAAATCGAACCTTCTTCTAATTTAATATTTCTTACTGCGGAAAATAATTTAACTTTTAGTACAAAGAATATGTAGCTATTTCATTCATAGAAACTCATCTGCTTAAAAATTGTTCCGTATATTAGTTGTGCGTACCGAATATTTTACACACGCTAATAAGCTAAAAGTTAATTGTTAAATCAAATAAATTAAATTTATTCGAAGTTTTCTCAGGACGTTAACATATTTCGATAACATATTTCAAGTTCATTGAAATCGGTAAAGTGCGCTATTCTTTTCGAATAAAAATGCCAATAATATCGACTACGATTCACTAGCCGTTGTATTATAGAACACGGTTACAGCGTAAATCAAGAGCATTTCAAACTTTTCCTCGTTACTCTAACTCATGATGCTACGTGTTATTCTTCGTGCATTGTCCACGTGCACGTTATGCAGAAGATAACACGAGAATATTAATATCTTGTGTACTCTCTGAATGGGGTAGAGGTATCAATAATAAATGTTTACAAACATTCCATGAGGTACAACGACCGTACAGTAACACGAGAAAATTTACGAAGATGTAACATTAAAAGGAATAGCGCATATCTTTCAGTTTGAGCACAGTTGCTGTTCGCGTAAATGTTCTCATTTTCCTGTTATTATGTAGGCATACACGCAAAAGTTGAAAATATGGCGGAAAATCTACTTTAATAAAAGATAGAAAATATCAAACATCGTTAGTTTGCAGGTTCTTAGAAATAACATCATTTATGACAAGCACTAGAACAAATTCTGATAAATCCACTAATAATGAAAATATTTCGTATAGCAATTATAAAATGTAGACAAGACGTTAGTAAATAGGGGCGTTAAGATTAGGTGAGGAACACTTGCGTTTCTTTCAATGGATTTGTACAATTTATTGTTAATTTATTATTAAATACAACAAACAATAAAAATATAATATTATTGTATTAAACGGTGCAGTTCATTATTCGTTATGGGAATATTTTATACACATTAAAAAGTTATTGGTTCAGATGGAGTAACAGATTAAAAATAGCACGAATGCACCTAGTTATCCCAGTTTTTTGAAATAATATGGTCGTTTCTCCTCGACGAAATGATAGGTAAGAGTAATGAAATGAATCGAATCACGTGCCACTCGTAATTTCGATTCGAACCATATCTATATACAGACGTTTCGTTTATCGTGTCCGCGTTTAATATCTTCGTTACTTCTGCAGATACAGAAAAATGTACGAGTCAAAAGTTATTTGGATTAATACATATTATTGTGATTCGTGTTCTACCCCAGAGCCATTTTTTTCCGAATTTTCAAGGTCATCGACGATTTTCCAATAGCAGTAACATATTTTTATCATCGTACTATTGTAGCTAATAAAACATGGATTTCAGACATGTCATTGAAATAACCTAAAGTAAAAAATTCATGATAATTTGTAACGACATGAGAAATTAAGCATTTCCCACTCTTTCGCCCAAAATTATTGTCATTTTGCAAGCAATGTCCACTACTTTCGAGATTTTAATAAATTGTGTTCTTAAGTTCGTTTGATGACGCTTCGTTTATAAAGATTATAAACAGCATACGAATCGAAAAACACGCATAGTCGACTCAAGATATTAATCAAGATAATCGGTCGAAAGTTGTGCCATCTTATCCGTCTTGCTAACATCGACATGTGCAGTCGACCAACTTTGCGGTGACCTTCGTCCAGCGGGTCTATGGCGACGTATTCCCCTTGTGCGGAGGTAAAGAAGTTAGTCTCAGGATGGGCAGTGGTTTGACAACAGGGCGGTCCCGCCAGCTCAAAGATCCTTCGGGATATGACTTTATAATACTTTTCTAGCAAGCAAATGAACAGTGATCGATGTCTGACAAGACGAATCTTTACCAGGTGTCTGCTTCGCTGTATCATAAAGACACCGCGTTGCATTCTTTGACAGTTTTAGTAGCTGAAAATACCCATATCGACGAAGATTACAAATTACGAATTAAAAGAAAGATTAAAACTTCAAATATGCAAATTATCTGGTTTGTATGAAGATGCTTGTGTGTATTTTTACGTACGCAATACACAATAATGATTGTTACTGGGTAATTACTGTTTCATTGTTGGCAGTTAATAACAAAGTAATAGGATTCTTAGAGAGAATGATTCATCGAAACTATTCGTTTGTACTAATTATTCCATGGAAATCAATTGGTTCCAATTGATTAGCACGATCAGTTGCAACGATTCAGCTACCTAAGCGGTAAATGGGTCTATTTGCGACATATCACAATACATCAAACGTGTTTGGGGATACATTAATTCAGCGACTATGAAAATAGCTGTGTGATTGACCCGTGTAATATGGTTAATTCGCATGACGATATGGACCGTATGAAAATTCAAACGCGCACCGTCAATGGGGTTTAATGGGCCAAAACCGGAAAATAGCGATGTCATTGCATGCCAAAGTGCGCTTACTGCGGCGATTATGTCAATACTGGTATTGTATCATATGCTGCATGGTATATATTTATCAAATAGGGCAATTTTTTTATAAGACCGACTTTATCGGACCTGTAGTCTCATTTTTCACCCGTATAACGTTAAACAAAAGTTATAAGTCAAAGATTAAGAAATTGCTGGATAATTTGATAATTGAGAAACAATCGATGACTGATACGAAATATTAATATAGAAATGCACATATGTATATATATTTCTACATGATACGAAAGAAAAATTGTTTGACAAAGATCGAAACTATGCAACAAACTCTTTTTATTTAAGTATCCGTTTTGGAAGAAAACTAAATTTTCAAATAGTACAATGTACGAAGCGAAATATAATTCCATGTATAAATACACGCAAAAATCAGGCCTTCGAGTGTAGTTACGTTATAATAATGAGAGACAGTTTTATTGTAATATTTCTATATTATTTTGTGAAACCGAATTAGATACTTGACAGAAACTGATTTTATCTAAGACATTTGATTTTATCTAAGACATTCGTTAATCAAAATATTATATTTTCATTTCCACGAAATTATTATCAAGGATTATTTATAGATGTCTATCATAGATTCTTCCAATGAAATACAATTCACAACAAATTACGTCACGCGCGTGACAATTGGCCGCAAATCAAGCAGATAATAATCTATCGTTATAATCTACTATTAGATTGGAAACTACTTCATATTCTGGTAAACATTTGTATACAGGGTGTTCATTTGAAAATGTCCAATTATCTCGAGAACTACGCATTTAAAAAAAAATTTTTTGAAATAAAAACAATGCAACTTGTCTCTCACTTTTCAGCCCATTTTAAGGTAATTTGTAGGACAAATGGAAACCACACTTTTTTCTCATTCTTCGGGAAAAAAGAAGAAGTTTTATAAGAAAGACCTTTATCGGACTTTGTCTTAAAATGATATTTGTTCAACTTTTATCTGTACAACTTTTTTTATACACAAAACATCGGAATAAATGTGTTTAGAATGTCCTCACTTTTCCTAAAATTACCAAGATTTTGAAAACATTTTATAATGCTTCGTTATTTGTGTATTTAAAAGGTCTCGTGAAAAAGTCGAATTGTTAGTGATTGTACACTTTAATCACTTCCGCTGCTTTGGAAATAACAAAAACTGAAATAAATGTTTATCTGAACAAATACCTTTTAAGATGAAGTGCGATAAAGAAATGTTTTCTATACAAGTTTGTTCTCTTCTCTCGTAGAGTAAGAGGCTGTAAAGAAAAAATATGATCTCCATTTTAAAAGACCAAGTTGACCCTTGAATGACTTTAAAAAAGCTAAAAAATTAATAACGAGCAGCATGGTTGCGCTTCCTCCTCGAAACTTTTGTCTCAAACATTTTTTTCCTAAACTGCGTGGTTTTCGAGATAGTTGGACGTAAATTTTCCAAATGAACATCCTGTGAAAAATCCGGCGCATATGCATAGTACAACGTTCAGCGTCTATAGAAATTGATATATTCGATTCAAGAAATCCTCTATCACTTTTTTTAGATAGCCGGTAGTTATTTTGAATATTACGATGCAGTAGCAAACCTATGTAGAATATCAGTAGTAAAATATTTTACTTGTACTAGAACTTTTCGAATATTAAATTTTCTTTCGAGTTGGTATGACATTATTAGATATTCTAAAATATCAATACGCATTTTTAACAATTTTACGATTATTTCAACTGTTGTATGAAATTTTGTTATTCATATAACGATCTATAGACAGAACGTTAATAGCTAGTTATATTTTTTGACAAATTATTAAAATTTGCTACTAGTTGAAAAATATGCTACGTTTGTTTCTAAATGCGAGAATACGATATGCACAATGGTCTTGTAAGATTAAATCGTTTCTTTAAGCGATTTATGAAAATTTGGGAAAGATGCGATCGAAGAAGGTATACACGTATATGTACTTCAAATGCAATGTACTTAATGGACGAATAGCGAAACACTGTTTCATGGGTTTACCGTGAAAGCATTTTCGAAAGCCCCATTACGAGAACCGTAGCTTGAGTTCTCTCAAAAGCACCATTAATGGACCATAGTATATCTTCATTTCATTTAGGCTAGGTTTCCAGCAAAGCTACTATTCACAATGTATTTATTTGCAACATCTGCTTTACCTTTTTTTTAAATTTATAACAATTCTCTTAAACTATCCATCACGAAAGCATCCATCTTGAGTTATATTTACGTTGTTTCGTGTAGATATATATATAAATATATATATATAAATAAATATATATATAAAATATAATATAAAGCACAAATGATAACAAAGATTTTATAATGTATTTCCATATATTATTTTTGAAGTTTCATGGAATCATAATGATTAATAATTATTTAATCGTGTTGAAACTATCGCAGTGAATCTTATTATAAGTATATGTATATATGTATATTGCAGTAAGTAGCTCACACGGCAGGGACATTAAACAGTTTACCCAATGACCAGGGTAAGAGTAGTCTCGTTACCCTGTACAATTTTCGATATTATACTGCACGATACTGGCTCGAGGAAAAATCTTCTCCCTCGCGAGTTCGTGCGACTACTTCAAAATAGCGCATTCTCTAATATTAACCTCAAGGCGAAGGGCTGCAATCTTATTTTTACTGATGTCTGCATACTAGGGCGTTTAAGTGCACGCAGTTTTTTAAGGCTTTTGTGTTTTAAAAGATCCCCAAAAATTCTTAGATAGTCTTCCAAGTTTCTAGAATGTCGTCCGTTAGCTTTTAGTTGTCATACGTCGTCATAATTTTTTAAGTAAATCTAAATGTTTGGGAAAATTACTTAAAATTACTGGTTTTGAAAATGACCCTGTATGCAGATGGGTCTTAAAATATTTATCCTACAAATACCTAAAAATTGTAGAACCTACAAATATAGAAGATATTTAAAAAAGCATTACTAAACGACAAGTATCGATCAACCTGTATAAACAGCTTTACCAAATGTGGATCGAAAATTCAATTACTTTGAAGCGACCCTGTCTGTCAGAAACAAATGATTACGGTATAACATCTGCACCTTGATATTAGTTTTTATACTATGCATTATACATATACATGTGAAACCTTTCTACACAGTCCGAAATTCTTTCTCAAATTACATTAAATTTATTAAGCAATTTTTCACGCGGTAATCGTATTAACTTTGCAGAGAGCATACTGGCGGGTGCTATTCTACATATGTAATTCACTTTACTCTTATGAGTGATATCCAGTGAATCCAAGCTACTAGTTAAATAATCTAAAAGCAATTAAACAAATTATTCCTTAGCGTTATTTTCCAAATTCAATTAAATTACCATAATGTGGTGTCATTCTGATTATTTTATTTTCGGTTAACATTTTCGGTTTCTGTGTATGAAATATTTTTAAATTACTGAAATTCACACGGACCATTTAATAAGAAAAACTTATTTCGTTAATTGTATAGAAAAGAGGACACTTTGTCACTCGAATTAAATTTAGTTTCCATTTTCGCTTTGTTCTGGTAGATAGGTGGCCACATTTTTATATAGCGATCGATCTAAACTTGGCTCAGTAATGTTAATCATCTTTACATACATTCACGGGCGTACGTAGTGTCCGGATATATGGCCGCCAATCGGGGGCGTGCTTGGTCGTATATCCGGAAATGCGACTTTCCGAGAATTGGCCAACGTTATCCGACTGCTGTTCACTGTGCCGTGGGTGCATCAAGGGCAAGAGCGACAAGTAGGCAGTGCGAGCGAGACAGAATAGATAGAATGTAATAAGATACTGTAGAATTAGGTCATTTCTTATTCTCAATCACTTATTACATATGTGTGTAGTTCAATTAAAAATTGTGGGTCAAATATAGTTATGTTTGGTATCATTTTGATCGTTTGAACCTCGATAATTCGACTAAGGCCATCTCGTCACGATATTATAAAAAGTGGAACGTATTTTATTTTTCTTAAGTATTTTCTCATTATATCTTCAAATTCGAGACTATGTGTTCTATATGAGTACGAAACTACTGTACCACCAAACATATTCTGTGTATAACTCAAAAACTAAGGCCATTCGTGCATTTTTTGTTTTATTTACAGATTATTAAAAATGGTTTTAGGTTGGATTATATCCTCCCTTAAAGTTTTTAAAGCGCTACCGCCGGTTTCCCAATGTAGTGCAATCGTAACACAAATTGTATCGAAGCTTTTTGCGAATATCTTAGGTGCTAAGACCGAGTGGCGGTGTTCGTTCACGCTGCCAATAATCTTTCACACTGTTGACAATATATTTCAAGATTGTCAAAATCTGCTCTTTTCTGCATAATCACAACACTAAACAAATTCAGCATGTGGCATGGTTAGATTTACATTTAGCTCCATTGTTTGGTTCAGCTAGTTTTAAAGTGGAATTAAAAGTACTCGTAGTTGTTTGCTACTCTTTTCTCGCGATATTTTGTTTATTTAAATAGCTCGTTTCTATATAAAGTACATGCTCGCTTATCGGAAACTCCTTTATACGAACTAGTTTTTGTTTACCGTCGATAGCTGAGTTTCTATTATCCAAATTATGTTCACTTAACTTAATTATTTTCAGTTATACGAATGTATATTCTGAAATTATACAGAAGTTTTAGAGAATCTGCGTCGAAATTATTGCTTCACCTTAATTATCCTGTGTTAATTTCTATCATAGAGTCTCATAGCAGTAGCTAGTGGGGAGTAGCCTCTATTATCTAAACACATGGGTTGTCGAAAATATTTTGTCTTCTACGAACTTCTACGCTATTGAAGTTTTGAAAAATTGGAGATACCGATCACGCTGTATTAAACTAAATAATAATGGAAGAAAGGAATTTCAGTTTGTAGATTTTTAATTAATCTACTGCTTTACTCATCAAATATAGGATATTATTACAGCACATACAGCATTACAGCAATTTGACATTGTGAATTTTGGCCCGCATACTATGGTCGCGTTTTTCAATTATGAAAATATTTAAAATAATTGACTCTTTTGGATCAAGCCTTTTTATCGTCATAGGCACTCATAATTTTTTCGTTATTTAACATTATTCGTACTGTTTCTTAGTTGTTATAGTTAATTTCAGCACGTTAATTTTTAACGCGTCAAGGTGTAAGAAAGTTGATCTACGCTACAAATACTTGAAGCAAAATAAAATATGAGCATTAGGTAGCAAGGTTTCCAAACGTTCAGACTAAAAGAATAAGGATAGATCTAATTGATATTCATGATATTCTTATAACATTTAATCGCGAAATTAATTATACGTGATCACGTCTCGAACAGAGCATACCTTCGAAGAAACTGTAGGCCATTCCGTATGTAGTTTTACCGTATGGCCGTTCTGCTGGGCAGAACCATCGATCGCAGTTTCTCCAAAAGTGCCATTAGTGGGTTAGAAAGTGCTGCAGAGCTGTGTGGAAGAAGGTTGCTTCAGGGCCATTGCGATTTTGAAAACTTGGACGATTGCAATAACAATTCAAGGAAGCTACGGTATTATACCGAATAGTCTACTTCTGAAAGTAGTAGCAATGGCTTTTCGCCGAGCGGAAATTCGGACGGGCTTCATGAAGTAAATCGGGAATTTACACTGGCCAAGAATAATGGATAATACACGAGTAACTGAGAGGCGAAGTCGTTTGATAAATGGCTTTTTCATGAGTAAACAAGATAGCGGTTGGGAAATAAACCTTCGTGTAAAACATAAGACAATTATAAAATGGAAATTGCCGTAAATACATTCCTACGTAAGAAGAGCTTTCTACAGTCAAGAACAGAAATTGCATGTCATTGATTTAGTGGCAATAATTGGCTCATACATTTATTAACCGTTTGCAAACGAAATGAACACGTCGAAATAAAGTTTTAATACTTCGCGGTTTATGACTATACACCACACAATAATTGTACATTAAAGTTGGTAATTAGCGCAAATATCATCGAAATACGATTAATGTTAAAAGATTCAATATGCAATATCGATTAAAAGAATCTCGCTGAATTTTCTGTTTCCTGCATATGTCTTTCTCCACGGCCAGCAATCGATCATTTTCCTGGCATGATATTATTAACTTTCTATTAGATAACGTTCACACTTGATAAATTTTTGTTCAAATAATTATTTAGAGAGTCATTTGTTATTTAAGAGTTGAAATGAAAAACCAAAGTAAATTGTTTGTTATTTGGCAAGTATAAACACACTACTTAATATAGTGAAATTAATTGTTATTTACAAATAGAATTCTATTTTTTATTATTAGCGCAGCCAGAATAAAATACTATTATTTCATTTCGATAATTATTTGTTTACTGTAGCAGTGTGTACATAAATATTTCATTTGCCGATTTTCATGCAGTTGTAAGAAATTTCAAAGTGCAAAATTGTATACAATGCACGTGATACGAAAAAATATATAGAATGGGCAATATATAATACTTTTTATAATACATTTAAAATTTTTTAAATCGCGCTCTCAAAAATATGCAGTTGCATAAAGATCGGCAGTCTACTTATGACACATGCGCATGTCAGGCAATAGCCGTATCGTATAGTATATATATATGTGCGTGTTTTCAATTTTTTCGAAAGATGGACTCACGCCACTTGCAAAATAAACGGTCCATACGTCGGTCCATACATCATAACGCGGTTCGGATCATCTACCGAGTATCCGCCAACGAAATTTAATTTCTCAATTTGCGTTACTTTCCGACAGCTATTCTCACGAGCGGGTCAAGAGAGTCTTATGGCTACTATGCTTCTTCTAAGCGATATGAAATTTGTTTTTTCTTGAAACTCGTCAGTTGTCGTGCATGTAGAAGCGATTATATTATATTTTGAATGGAGTTTCGTTATTTGTCCATCCAAACAATGAAGGAAAGCTTGATAGAATTGAAAAACGGAGAAGATGATGGTATTTCTCAAGAGGAGTGTAATATGTCATTTCTTGTATGCAATCGATGCGCCAGCTGGCATTTGGCGTTTCATACGTCGTATATGAGCGAAAGCACTGGTTATGAATACATCAGCGAATGTTTTGTAATGACGCACAATGCTCATACATGTATAAGAATGAAAGAGCTTTTGAGCGCACGTTGTGTAAGAGAGTGTCGCTAACGCAGTGCGAAAGAGCTCGTTCCCTTTATCCTTTAGTCTCTTTCCCCTTGTCGTTTAACGCGTCTTAAACGTTTACATTCCCGCTTCTCGCCGACCTGCCGCGTCACACTGCTACGCTTTACTTAAATACGTGCTTTCCACCATGCAGACGCGCCTTTATTAGAATCAAATCATTGGTAATAGGATAGCGTTGTGAATCAACGCAAACACTGTATGCTCCTTGTTACGTTGCTTCATTTTTCTAGAACGTATTATAAAACTGGACTTGTTGAAGGTCAGAGAATTTGCATAATATCAATGTTTGAAAGCTGCTCCGAGAACAAAAAGTTCACAAATTCCTACGCTGTGCAAATAAATTTACAATTCTAATTACATTAACACATGTCGACGGTTCTGACGCGAGAACCTCAGCTGGTGCCGTCTACGATTTCCATAAGTCCATGGCTGATTGTCGCGAGGTTCTGCTATTAAAACGAGAGTGAATTTAAAAGTATCGCTCTGCCATACCATGTTTATAACCACTTGTCCTATCCGACGAATTTCCGTTGCGAAAATAATTCGTTTCTTCTATACAGCTGCGGCAACTGAAAACTATCTGCCTCCTGTCGCATCTTCTGCCTTCGATTCTTCTGAATCCGTGGTCAAGAAACTGCAAATGACTTTTCCCACTCATACACTTTCTATATGTATATAACTTTATATCCCAAGAAAAGAAGCTCAAAGTATTGAAACACTGGAAGCTATACAACCTATTTCGTAGCGAACTGAATCCAACAAATTAACGAACAACTTGTATTCTTTGATCAATAGGATATTAACAGTATTGTGCAATTATATTATAAAATTATATCAATTCCCATTGCCTGACTGTTTATTTTCAGCAAACAATATTCTCGAAACCGTTGAATGATAACTAAGCGGCAACTGAATAAAATTTGCGAAATGGTGTGAATTCACGTCAGCGGTGACTAGTAACATGGAGTACAAAAAATCGTTGTGTAAAATCTGCGATCGATTGATCATATAGTCGCTGGATAATTGTTGTCTTTTGAAACAGGAAAACTATATTCAAGAACCATAGCAAATGGCCACAAAATTATATCGAAATGTCACCAATATCGAATTTATTAATCTCTGTTAAGCTGTCCACTTAATTTTTTCTTAAACCCAAATGAACGAATAGGTTTACCTGCAAATTTTTCAGAATCTACATGGAGCAACCGACGTGGCACGTATACGACATCGCATTTCTTTAATTAAAGTTAATTTTGTAAAAAGGAAATAGTTGGTTATGGAATATATGAAGAATTCTAATTTTAACGTATTTATTTTTGCTAAATAATTTTTTCACATTTGACGCATTTCATTTTATAATTGTTAATTCTAGAAATAAAATGTCGCAACTTTATTAAATTTTTCAACGACATTACATGTTTTGTATAAAATTTTACTACCATATTTTTCACAGTGATACTGTTATGCAATTTATAAAGTACAGTCTACTTGACACTATAACATTTATTAAATGAACTTGTATATCCGTTCTGATATTTTCTTTGCACTGATACTTTACTTTATAATTTACATTAAACAGAACGCTGCGAATAGCGGCGAAACTGTCAGGTCTGTCACTTCGCTTAACTATGTCTGTCACTTTAATATTCTATTTTTGTATTGCAATTATTTATATTACCACTGATTATTGTTATTATTATACTCCCATAGTATCACACCATGTTCACTAACAAACTTCAATCAACTAACATAAATGGCTAAAAACCACCTTACAATTTTTCAAAATGTGTTCGCACATATAATAAGTTGAAATAAAATGCTGTTTTGCTTTTACCGTTACAAGGAGTGAGGTTACAACTTATTGTCAGTTGGCCATAACATTAAAGGGATGATACTATTAAAAGTTGAAACTCTGAATGATGAATATGAACATGATACTCTGAAAATTTTTACTTGCATCACTATGATTCGCAAACTATCGCTTTTAAATATGTACATTATCGAATTTGACGAATTTATATTAATTTTATAGGAATATTTGCCAAGAGAAGAAGTTTCATATTTTACTAGAATTGAAATATTGTAAATAATTATAGCATGATACACACGCACATACTGATTCATTTAGCTGCAGTTACACTTGGTATTTACTGTAATCGTTCTGTTTTCGCATTAGAATCCTTGTCCCCTCGTACACGTAATTACACACAATTGCTGGTTACAATTTGCCAACCTGAATTCACTCTATTATCACATTTACGCAAACCCAATTTAATTACTTTTAATAACAAATGATGAATAACATAAGAGACACTACAATCAATGTCAGCTGTTACTGCCGCATCTACAAATTTACGAATAAACTATGAATTGTTGTAATATACACATACAGCGTGTCTCGCGCAATTAACCATTGCGTTGTATGTTGTAGATTTCTGCGTGGTTTGTATATATTCTTATGCATTGATGCAGTTGCAAAGTGCATTCTACATGTAAAAATATTGAGTTATGTGATTCAATTATTAAAATATTTCTACTCTCTTGGTCAAATAGATGAATAAGGATTCTCTTACATACATATCCCTGAGTATGAATAGTACTTTAGCTATACAGAACATTCAACATCACCCTCTTCATTACACTTTCCATCGCATAAATCTTCGTGTCATTCCCCAGCAGTAATATGTCAGCTTGCTGTTTGCACGTTTGCAGTTGACACTACAGGATGTCACAAAATATGTGAAAAGACATTTCTAGAATTGATTCGAGACATCGAAACAACGAAGAAAGTTTATGTAAAAAGATATTATTTAAACATCATTTTTCAAATTGTAAACATCATTTTACACTAGAAATACATGTGGCGAATAGTTGCCTTAAGTCAGTGAATTACTATCGTCCTTTGTTCTGTATCTTCAGAGTTAGAAACACGAAACATGGGTGAAACAGAAAGCAAAATTCATCAGCTGGTTCATCGATAGTATTTCCATGGAAAAATTCAATTATTTATAACTAGAAAAATAGAGTTTAATCAACGTTTTGTACACAAATTATTTTCCTTATAAAGATGTCCAATTTTAAGCAGATTAATAGTTGATCGACATTGGCAAATAATACTTGTAATACGCTAATACGCATAAAAAACTCGTGTATTTCGCACACTTTAAGCTCGATAAATGCCTGCAGATATGTTACATAAAGTTAAGCGCAGCTTTCAATTTCGGTACATCTATTTTTACTATTCTCTCGTATTATCAATGTTTTGGATCAGTTTTATTATTTATTATTATTAATAGTAAAGAATTAAAGTCAGTTTTATAACCGACTCGGTATTAAAACATTTGCTATTTCATATTAAGCCATTGGTATCCTTATTTATACTCTGTTAATGAAAATGCCAATTTTTCGTGCATCGAGTAAAACAGTTAAAATTATATCAATAGACTGTAATGGAATTTTTAATATAAATTTTATTTATGTTTAAAATTGCGCAAATATAATTTTAAGTAACGGATCTTTTATATTACGATATTTACTCCTTCGAATAAAATATCACATTTAAACGCATTTTGTAGTATTGAAAACGATGAAAATATTTTTATCTATCAGCTTTACCATTAAGTTTCATGAAAAAAACACTAGGTAATGTACACGAATTATGTACATCTAAAAATTGTTCAAACTACAGTAGAGCGCCCTCGTCCAAACATTAATATCCGAACGTTTTATTATCGGAACATGATATTTCCCAGTAACGGATGTCTTATTATTTATTTTATTTAGAGTCGCATAATTAATAAAATTCATAACAAGAATATACAAAAAAAGAACAAAATGTAAAATATAATAAAACAAGTTACAAACTCACTTAATAGTATATATCAATACATTTTGAACATAAATCATATACAGTACAACGATATACAATGATAGCAAGATGCAGTACAATTAACCTAAACTTAAATTAATAGGATACAGTGTATGTTACAATTAAGTTAATAGCCTACAATGTCATAATTGCTGATACAAACTAATATCCTTGAGAAAGTGAAGGAGATTTAATTAGGCATGTTTGAATATCATCTGGAAGATCAAACTTTGTTTTGTGTTGGGGAAAGTTACTACGATTTATGAAGATGATCTGCAGACAAAATACAGCTACAGTGTTTACACTTGTGTGGTTCATTTTCAGTTATAAGACGAGAGCGTGTCAGGTTAGTATGACCAATTCTAAATCTGGTCTTGCTCTTTCTTACTAAAAAGTTCTGGACTTTTATCCAATACGTTTGTACGTATTTTATATATGTTGGATGAAAGTGTATACTTTCAAAAATCGTATTCAACATTTATTTATTTAAATATTTGTTTCAACTTTAATTATTTAAGCATTAGGATGTGGACAGTGACCGTTGAGGCTATTCAAACGAGTAGACAAAGTTCCAATTGTGACATTTTTAGATCCCAACTGTAAGTCATGAATTGATCATTAATAATGAATTGATAGATTCTCCCCTTCATTCGATTGAGTGAATTCTGATTGTAAGAATTTAGTATGAAACTAATAGCGTTCTAACCATCGAAACCAAACGTGACATAATTAGAAAGTGTTGTAAGTGCAATAGAATTAGCAAAAACACACATTTTTACAGATATTAAGAAACAAAAACATGATATTGAAAATTGTCCAAAGCACGTAGATTCCGCAGATGCTGGCAACACTAGAAAAACCTTCAATATGCTAATGTAATGAAATGGCTTCATTGCGACAAAGACGATAACAATGACGATATTATGCAAATGAAAACAGCGAACAAAAGTGGTAATAGAGAGGTGGTTTTTTACGGCGAAGCAATCGTGGCATTCGGAAAAAAACTTCGATAGTTCGAAACACAAAAAGGGTGCAACTCTATTATTACGTTGAAAAAATTGTTTGATTTAGCAGTCGAAAAATGACGAGGCCCATAAATAATCTGAATGAAACTTAATCTTAACCTACAATTCAAATCGCTACGCTCTTTAAACGACGCGTGCGATTATCTGAAAGAGGAAATTGGTTCGAACCCGGACGACTACCAAGTCCCTAGTGTGTGCTTTGCGAAAGTGAAACAGATTCCTTGTTTGACTCTCCCGCTAGTACAGAGGCTTCTACTTCAGAGTGCCATTGAATTTAAAACGTCGATGTGGTTGGTCGCTTGTGTAAATGTCTATCCTTCTACATCCGTTTCTATCGTTAAAATGATTCCCCTTAATTTGCCCAATTTCTCCATTTTCAAATTTCCCTGGTTCCTGCCTTTCTTTTCCGCCGTTTTTTCTTTCCGCCCTCTCCCTTTTCCTGTTTTTTCATTGGTGGTGATCTACCTTTCTTTCTTGTCATTTGCGGTTTTTTCAAGTTCTCTTTTCCTGCTTTGTCTCTTTCCCGGTCTTCGTCCTCTTTCCCTTTTCCCTTAAAGGCTTCAATTAATGAGCATTCGCCTTTAACACTGTACCGTCCTATCCTGTTCCGTCGAGGTCGATCTTCCTCTCCTTTTTGAATCTTTTATTTTGCTCATTAGTCCTTCTGCTCTCACCTAGCGCTTTCTGTTGCTTTTGGTTCTTTGATTTCTTGCGTGTCCATCAAGTGTCGAAGGGTACTGATACGATGAACCGCGATCCAGCAGCCCTGTTTTCCCTCGATAGGTGTCGCTGCTTCCTGTGACCCACACGATCGTCATCCAGTAGATCCGAGTTTTCGCTCTAACCTCAAATCCCTTTGTCTTTTAGCTTCTACTAGGTGTCTTTCCACCTTCCACCTGTCCTCTCTCATTTCGCTACTCCGTGTCTTTGTCTCCCCCTGTCTAGAATTTCTCCCGTCTGTCTTTGAACCAGCTTCAGAGCTTCTCTTGTCTATTTCTAACACTTAATCGCCTTTTCATATTCACACTCTTGCAATTACGCGCTGTTCTCATTTCTCACATAACGCTACTCCCTATAAATCTATATTAATGTGGTATAAGTTATACTTTGGTGATTGCTGTTGCGTGGACGTAACTTCACTCTACCGGCCAGTATTTGCCGACGTGTCATGCACAGGGTGCGAAGAAAGTAAGTTTAAAGAGGATCCTACATCAAATTCAATTCATTTCAAAATCAAAGTTTAATCTTTTTTATTATAGCATACTGTGCTCATCGCGAGAAACAACAGTCTGAAAGGCACCATGGGTCGCAAATGATCCCTTCTGCCGGTCAACGATGTTAAAGTTTTAGTAATTTTCAAACTGATTTTTAATTCACAATGAATTAACATTAATGAATTAATGAATTAAATTTTTTGTTTGCAAATTTACATATAATTCTTCGCTCAGGCTTCTTTTCCATCAACGATTATTCTCATAGATATCCGTAATCGTAAAAGAAACGCATATTTATTTTTGCTCGTAGGCGACAAAAAGTATACTAAATTTGACACTACTGTTTTAACTAAATTTTAAGCTACTGAACGATATCTTTCACTCTGCGAAGAAAGAAGTGGAGCAGTGCCGAATCTGCAAAGCGAGGTGGTCCATGGGAAGCGATTCATCCTGTTCACGATAATATAAACGTTTCATTGAAAAATTGGCGAACCGATCGACTATGAGTCGGAGTGAGAGCAATCATGCGTGGAATAGATAGAGTAGGCACGTGTGCTTTAACTTGGTGTAATTTGCTATAGAGTCACGAATCTAAAAGTCGCAAATATACGCACTTGTTATCGATGTAGGCACATAATTGCTACCCATTCTTGATTAAATGCCTCGAATTATTGCGTACGCTTTATCGCGAGCACGAAATGAAATTCTGGCGTTTGTTGATCGAGGATGCTACTGCATTCGTAACACGGTCGAAAAAGCATAGTTGCAGCATAAGTATCATTCAATGGGAAAGTCCCACCGAGTGACATATCTATTTGGAGTGTTTAAACGCGGCGAATGTTGTAAAAATGTAAGTTCGCTCTCGTATTCGCCACATTGTCGTATGATGGATTCGATGTCACCTATTCTATGTAAATTCATTAGTAAATGCGCACGAGGAATGGCAATAATTAATCTTCTTTAGGAATGCGGGATCGATTTAATCTTTGATATGGATTTAAATGTCGCAATATTAATTCTTGATCACGAAATTACTAATTTAGTCGCTGAAAATCATATTATCACGCAACCTTTTCTGCACGTAAAGATCTTCCATTATTTCAGTATTCTGATATATCTGTAATTTCCTACTGCTTCGTCGATGGCGCGTTATTTTCCCACAAAAAGTAAATGCAAATAAATATTTTTATGCCAATAAAGCCAGTTAACGAATTATTAAAACTTTAACGTTGTTGACCGGGAGAAGGAATCATTTGCAGCCTATGGTTTTTTTTAGAAGCTTTTTTCTTCATCCATCCGGTACTGTAAAATCATACTATCTTATTTACACTTACTTCCTTCACACCCTATACATGTCATACAGATCTAATTTTTAACGTTATTATGCAAGTGATTTAAGACCGCAGACTTGATTTTTATCTGTTAAAATATTTCTATAGCTTTTATTCCTCTCAAACAATTACTAAAAGCGTGATGTTTTGCAAATATTTACAAAATTTACAATGACCTTCTGTTTCTACTGTTAAGATAACTTGAATATCGTAAAAAACGTATAAAACGAATAACGAAGAAAGGTGTGTACATAAGTACGTTGTCAGACATATGTGCAATGCGCGAGACACACGTGAGATCCACTTCGAGAGACGATGGTACTCCTAAAAGTAATGAAAAAGATTCACATAAACACATGCTGTATCTGTATTCCTTTGGAAGGTATAACGAATTTTCCGTTTTCATTTCGCGTTATCGAATTACTTTCACGGAAGATGCTCAAAATGACCACCTTTCATTTCAAGGCCAACCTGTAGACGTGTTTTTATGGACCCGGTTGATACTCGAACAATTCCTGGTGTTCGCCGAATTTCTTTATAATCTTGTCCTATTTTGAACCTTATTTATTTTCAACGTTTTTAATAGGTTTGCACTGCTAGCAAAATTCGATGTATCTCATAAGCGAAAACAAATAGAGCATGTGTTTATATGAGTGATAGATCGTTGGATAATGCGAGTGACGTAATTAACGTGAATCCGAAAAAATCACTTGATTGATTCTCTTGAAATATATAAAATCGAATACACGTAATATGTGAATATATTTTGTCAATCTACAAACAATCTATAAACAAATTAATAGCGAAGAAATGAGATTAAAATGAACGAAAAGTTTAATGGAATTTTAACCTTTTGTTCTTGCGATGAATATATTTTAATAAATACGCGAATGGAAATGCTCGACGAAAATAAAACAAATTCGTATCTTAATATACAACCTCATGATTTTATAACCTCCGGTGAATACGATGCATCTGAAACATGTCTGAAATCCGTCGAGCGAGCAGTTCTTCAATCAAGTGGTATGAAAATTCCATTGATTGATGAAACATGCAAATTCGTTACACGCAAGGACGTGTTGTCGCATATGCATACAACGGACAAAATTTTCCAGTAGTTTGAGCAAAGAATGAATTATATTGGAAACTTTAGATTTAGAGATTATCCCGCTTTCTTAAATAATTTACATACAGCTCTTTTTTTTATCGAGTCCAAAAAAAGCCCCTTATAAAGAATTATGTACCATGGGGGGTACGTTAGCTTTCCCCAGTTACTATTTTTCCGAGCGCATGAGATTTTAAACGACAGTTTAATTTAAGTTAGAAGAAAATTTAAACGTGCAAATTACTGTGCACTTTTTAAGAAAATAAACGCGTTTCAATATCTGGTTCGTAAAGTAAGGGTTTCGTGTTCAGTGGCGGGTACAGATTGTGTTTTCTCAAATTCTTCGTTAGGCCAGCTCTATGAGAATTAAAGAATTGCAAGGGACTCTTCCAGACTATTTGATTTAAATCCTGTTTTTTCAGAAAAGTGGTAGCGATCAAAGGACAAACTCTCGTGAGTTTAACCTTTATTTGCGAATCGTGGTTTATTATTATCTTTAAAATAATATACAATATTCAAATTACATTCGTGCTTAAGCGATTCACGAAAATCATGTTTTAATTAATTTGATTACACAGTATATCCATTTGTGATGGAATCCAAAAATTATTTACGCATTTTTGCTTAAATTCGTTATATTTTCTTTTAATTTCGAGAATACAGAAGTTACGATAGTCTTTGTATCTATTTTTGAATTATGCGGGAAGAGAAGAACGCTAATCAGTAGAAATTTTAATGTTACGATTCCATCATTTATGATATATAATATTAATGCATTCTGCAGAAAATACGTAAAATGTATTTGGAATGCTTCTTTTCCTCGAGACTGTCAATTCTTTGCAGATGTAAGCTGATTTTACAGAAATTGGTCTTGTAGTTTTGCTTCCATCGGTATATGTTATATGTAAGTCATCATTTAATAAAAAATTGCACATTTTGTGCATGTTTCCAATTTCAATATTTATACGAATCGAGGCAATGACAGTATTATGATCAGAAAAATAGATATTTAAGTGATTACGAGTGTGTAATATTCCCTTTATTCATACATTGTTTCATGAGCCTTCCTTTTAAGTTCACTTTCCTTATTTTTAGATGGTTAAAAGTGTTTTACTGTACGATTAATTTTCGTAGTAGTGTTAGAGGGCTTTGGTCAGGAAGCTATTACACAAATATGTAGTATGATCCCTAATAAGTGAAAGTTTTGGCTTTAACAGAATGTTTGTTGGTGCACTGATACGATCATTAAGAACAGCGCCTATTGCTGAATGTTGTATCTTTTTTCAACTTCTTAATGTTATTAATATCGATGAGAATGGAAAGTAATTGGAAAGATATATTACGGTTAGCCATAATTTTTCATCGGCGGAGCTAATCTCTTCAATTGCATTAAACTTCCTATCCGCGTTTTCCGGTTTTTGATTATACGTGTCATTCCCAGATTAGCAAAAATAAACCAACGTAGGGGCCCAGCTAGATATTTTCTACTTTTTCAATAAGTTGGTGTAATCTATTTTTGGTGTTTTTGTCTTTGAGTGGGTGATATTTATTTTTGATATTCATAAAGGCTTTTGTAAGAGCAGTGTATTCGTTAGTAACAATGATACAATTTAATCGAACGTAGTTTGTCAAAATTCTGTTTCGGCTCCTCGTTGCTTCGACATAAGGATGATCTCTGCTTTCTGTAGCAGTTTCAAACTTAGTATCAGAGAACATCTGGTCTTCGCTATCAAGATTGTCTGCAGAGATCTCAGAAGATACAGATAAGAGTCTTTCGTTGCAACGTGCTCCAGTTGTCCGGTTGTCGCAGATTCCGAAAAACCACGGGAGTGTTTGTGACGCCGTTTGTCGTTAATATTATTATTACTGTTATTGTTAATGACGGAGTTGGAGGCTGAAACATTGTCATATGAAGCAATAAGATTGTCGACAGCTATATCTTGAGACCTGTTGTTAGTAATACATTATCTTGCTACGTGATTTTTCTTTTACGAAGAGAACTTTGTCCGTAGATGTAAACGTGTATACGATATTGTATGTATTGTATACACGTTTGTATTGTATGCATGTATGTAAAAATTCTGGGATTTTTTATACATCTCCTAGAATGACATATATCGCGTGGCTTAAAACTTAACGCTCTAACAGCCGCATATTTCGCCATTACGGCCAATCGCGAACGCTTTTCACTCAGTCTATTATCGCATAATTACCATCATGATTGAATTAATTATTGAATTAATTATCATCGTTACTGAATCTTTATCATGCTATTTTTATTTATTTTCTACACTTACGCGTTATAGAAATAAAGAAATCGGGGTTACAATCATTTGCTGACCAATCACTTTCCCTGGATCATTAGACTCACAAAGTGCCGGTCTTTTCAACGCATTTATAGATCGTTTCGCTTGATTAAATTAAAAAGAAAAAAGAAAGAATAATTTCACGTAAACACGACGGCGGCCAACAACACAACATCACGTTTACGCGACGCTGCCGTCAAAGTGTTAAAACATAACTGAAGCTAGGTTCCTGTATAGCTGCTGTTAAGCAAGTAAGCTTAGAGGTAATTTTGATGTTTCTTTATGCAAAAAGGTTTTCGATATATTCGTTCCAGATGCATGACGTAACATTTAAAAGTATAGTTCTCTGTGAAAACCCGATGTCTTATTGCGACATTGGTATCCCTGGAAACAATTGAAGACTGTTTAGAGAGAAGTTGATGCTCTGTTCGTTTACTGTCCAGATATATCCACACGCGGTCGTTAGAAATTCGAGGAATGAAACGGCTGGCCACCAAAAGCTCCTTCAATACTACCGGCAATGATTACTGCTTCTCTGCTAGGATACACGTTAAGTATATTGGCGGATATTATCGGGTATTCTTTGCTTACCTCGAGACTCCTGTACCCAAAGGTTCAGATATACTTTCCTGAACTAGCTTTAGCGAACAGCATGATAAAAATACTAAATATTTGGAAATTTCTTTCAATATGCAACACACAGAAATGTGCACGACTGCTCGGAAGGAACTCTGACGTACAGTTGGGAAGGAATTCAGCCTCCTGACATAATTTTGAAATCCTTCCGATCTGCGTGTTATATTAGATAGTTGAAAGTAACGTTCTATAATCATATTAAGATACGTATAGTTTTCATTTCGACATGTAGAGTATCACCAAACCGATTTCGTATAGAGTTCAATTTTCGAAAAATCGAGTTTGGAAATCAAGTATACTTGAGTAATCAATAAGAGGTTATTCTACGTATGAAATTAAGTCGAAGATGTAGAACAAATTCTTCGTTTCGGTGATACAAAGGAAAACCAGCTGAAATTTAATTGTAGAAATTTCATGTCTATAATAAAACATGGTATGGGTATGGAGGTGCACAAGGCCTTTATAAAACTTGAAAGTTTACATTCTATCGATGATTCGATAGAATGATATATAGAGGGTGTGCCGAAAATCATGATACAAGCCGAAAGAGGGTGATTCCTCGTGTAAAAGCAAGTCGAAAACATCAATTTTCGACAATTTGTCAAGCACTCGTGCACTTGAGAGGTAACGAACAGGTTAGACAGGTTTCTTCACTCTTACGCACCCTGTCAAGTGGTACAGATCGGAAAGGGCTGTTGTTCCCTCTTCAAATCAAGTTGAAACGTAGAATGATAATTTTCGATGCGAGGCTTAGTTTTCGAGAAAATCAATTACAAAGTTCCGTCCATTTGACCCTCGTTACTTTTCAAGTGCACGCGTACCTACATGACGGAACTTCACAGTCCATTGCCTGGGAAACGAAGCCAGACAAAATTTTACAGATCTGGGTGCATGTATAAAGATATCGTTTATTCTCGTACATATTTCTGTGTTTTTTTAAATATTTTTCTATTCGACAATATCAAATAACAAAACCGATTGCTTTAGTCAACGCTCATACCGCGCTTAATGCACTCGTTCTCGTCAAAAGTAAATTACTGAAGCGTCCTGTTTTGCGACCAAGTTTTCAGGACAGAAAAAATAAAAAAAAAAACAAAATCATATAAAAGCTCCGCTCCCCAGCGGCTTAAACCCAAAAATTGTATTAAACACAAAAAAATGTAAAGCGCCGACACATAATATAGTATGGCTACGTCGTACCGCCGCGTATCGGTACCTTTGCTTAACACATCATTATCAAAATTCACAGTTTATTGTGAATACCAAAATGTATTTGAAATTGTATCTTGGGTTAAATAAACATCATTAAATGCACTCGTTCTCGTCCGATCACGAAAGTTTAAGCAGCGCTGGGCGCGGATAGTACTTAGACGGGTGACCGCTTGAGAACCCCGTGTGATGTTGCCCTTTTTTGCTTTTCCAATCTTTTTTACTTTTCTGAATAATCTATGATCGTATCCAGGGAAGGAGAAATATATTTTTAGCATTACACGACTGTCACCATACGTTGTATCATTCTTTCATACACGTACAAAGAAACTGGCACACGTTTTAAAACTGAAAGAAATAACGTCTCTTGGTATGCAGAAATTTTATGATGCTAGATTAATATCAAAAGTTATTATTTTACATTTTCGACTTACTTTTGTACGAGGAATCACATCCTTTTGGCTTACACCACGATTTTCGGTATACCCTGCATGTACTATCGTATGTATGTACTTACACAGCACAACAAAAATAGAATATTAATCCGTAGTGTAGTATCGTGGACAAAAAGGCCAAAGAGATATCGAGTAAACCATAAACAATGCCGCGAGAGCCGAGGCGTCGTCGGGTCCATCAATGTGTCGTCGGTCCTTCAATTGAATAGTTTCGTAGAAAAGGCCTACATGACCTTGGCCACGAGTGTTTGCGGAACACGTGCGTGGTGGGCCTAAGAAAAGACAAAGGGATGCTAGGACAGTCAGTGTCAGTGGAGAAGTCAGAGAGTGTGAATCGAGAAGTCAGAAAGTGCGAGTTGCGTTGTCGATATAGTGTTGCTAGCGTTGTGTGAGAGTGTCTTCCGCATGAGAGAGAGAGAGAGAGAGAGAGAGAGAGAGAGAGAGAGAGAGAGAGCGTTGGATCCGTTGTGACGAGAGTTGCGAGTTAACTATTGAGTTGTCTAGAACCATCGTTCTTCTGTTTAATCAACATGTGTACAATCCATTTATTGTAAATAAATCATCAATAATAATAATATTTTATTCCCGATACTACAGTAGGGTTGCTGGAAAGTGCTTGCAACAGAGGTGTACCCAGAACACGAATGTAATTTAAAGAGTTCACATAAACACATATTCAATGTGATCGAGTTCTTAAATATTTGTGTAAGATCAGTCTTGAAAATTAGTTGAAAGAATGAACAACCATTACACTGAAATTTAGTTTGTTTTTAGGAGACAGATTTGTTATTAGTTTGAGGTTTTAAACGTGCAAATTTGTTAGCCCGTAAGTATTTCACGCATGATCTTTTAATTGCACGTTGTTAATCTCTTAGGTACGATGCGCCACTATGGTGGCTTTCGCGGATGTCATCTTATATTACGACGCGCCACTATAGTGGCTCACTCCACTGACTCATTCGCTCACCGTTTCAACTAAATGGTCTTTTTCATTTGTCTTACTTCACGCAATGTTTTATAACAGTGTTAATAATATACAGATAGAATATATAGTCCTTGTTTTTGATACGCCAGTGTTTTGCTTTTGTTAAAATAAATATACCATTATTAGATGCTCTTTTTAACATGCCGACCCGTATCCTTATAATTTTTTAGAATCTTCAATCTCAAAATGTCGCTTCAAAATGGAAAACGAAGAGCAATTTGGAAAACACTATCGCGCTATGAGTGTGAAAATCGTGACGTGGGTCTATGTGTCGTACCGTGCTTTAAAATATGTCACACACAGTTGTATTATTAATTATTAAAGTGAATTATGAAACTTAAAGTATATGCATCATATTTTCAAGAAAAATTGTAGTTTAGTTATTAAAAACTTGATACCAATGTGCTTGCGCAGAGAACACTACCCGTCACATATTGCAGTGGCGTATCGTTTACACGTAATTCGCGTCAAACTCTGCCGTAGAGAGAAACAGCTGCGCGCAAAATTCAGCCCTACCTAAGAGGTTAAACGTCTTCTATCACCTCCACATAGTACAGCTGATGTAAGGTATCTTCCAAGATGTTAATTCTCAATACCGTCTGCCATTGTTTTATTTCCTGTACTGTTTATATTATGTACAGTTTGTGTTTATTATTTTGTTATACCTTCGAAGAATAATTTGAAACTGGAATTTATCAAGTAACTCTTTTACGAAACTTATGCTGCATCTTCAAATAACGGTTTACGCATCAAGTTTATTCACGTCAGTGTTACTTAACATTTATGAAGTAACTTGTTTGAACAATTTTGTAGGCGTTACGTAATAAGAAATTAACCTAATTTTCTTATTTGATATTTTATGCTTCCACCTACTTCGTCAAAAATATCCTAGGCGCTTTAAACCAAGCAATATAAACTTTCTCAGGAAAAGAGAATATGTGTATACTTCGCCGACTTCGTCTATATACCTGAAGATGGATGCCGGCTTCATCAAAATTAGAGCAGGTATAAACTTTAAAGGACATTATAAAAATGATCAATGTTGTTCCAGGAGACGACGAGGAATGAATTTTATAATGTAGAATCTGCATCGGCGATGAAAATTTACGTAGGAGAACGTTGGGCGGAATGGCGTACTATTTCTTAAATATATTATTTTTTTTTTATGTGTCAAGGATGGAGATTTGACAGTTATTGCATGTGATTCTATAAGTTTTTAGCAATGTAATGCATAGACGATGCGACGAGAAAGATCGATTGTTATTTTAAAAATTCTGGTTATTGGAAGAATACTCAAAATGTTAGTATCCTCACTCGTAGTATAATAAATAATTTTACTGTAGAGTTTAAATTTTAAGAAAATAAAAAATATTCTACACTGGATAATGCATACATTAATGTTACTTAATTTAAGATTCTTTTCACTTTTCTCACAGAAACGAATCACGCAATTGTCCAGGAGGGAAATCCGAAACGTATTACAGCGTAATGTTGCATAAGATAGCTGACGAGTAAAAAGTTATAATCATATTACGTTTATCGTGTAACAAGTTCAGCTTGCAAGCGTACTTTCGAAAGGACGATGATGGTGATACTAAGTCATACTTGTCATCTTGGCAAGATTGCGCGGTGTGTGGTTTGCTTTTCAGTCGTCACTTTCGCAGCACTGGTGCATTCACAATAGACGCGACGATCTCGAGCACTGGAGATGCAGTTACTATGTTGAGAGTGTAATTATGGATGGCAGTGGAGGAAACCTAGAGGGTTATTGCAACCTAGCTAGTGCAGTTTGCTGCTGTGTGTGTTAACTTACGTGTGCGGTAGCTACCACACCATTCACCGACAGTTTACGAGCTACGCATATCGCACTAGTTCGTCGTCAATTTTTGCAACTACGTTCTTATAATATTGTTTCGAACGTTACGTCGATTATACGATATCCGATTGTTTTTCAATTATATGGAACGTTATACTAACAATGAGATTTATTCAAATATGTATATACAGCATTGAAATATAAGTAACATGGATGATATTGCAACTAATTGTACATGATGTAATACGATATGTGTGATTGCAAACATTTCTATAAAATGCTATCAAAATAATAAGTAAATATATATATATTATGTAATTACATTAATAGTAAACCAACGGACACGTCTGTGTTCATGGTTACATGTATTTACGCATAGTAAGTGCATACGTTACGCATATTAGTAATATATTTTTGTTAATAATTTTTGAAGAAATAACGAACGACGGCTAACAACTGCACATCAAAACTCTATGCCAAAATCAAGATCATCGAAACTGGCCTCCCCTTTACCAATATTTACCATAAAATGTATTGAAAAATTTAAGCAAATATGACTTAAAACTAATTGCAATTTGGTTTAAATCTAATCCAAACTCAAACAAAAAATGGTATTGAAGTAATAAATGTATACAGTAAGAAGCAAGCAGAAAACTATAATAAATAAATAATAAATAAATATGTCGTCCTTTTTTAATGTGACAAATTAATATGCATGTTATTTCATTTTAAAACAATAGGAACGTAAATTTATCAACACGGAGGCAGTGGTGCAATTTTTAATCCGCGTTATAGGGGGTCACACTGTATATTATTTATTAAATTAATAGTGAACCAATATATAAAATTATGTTTGGAAAAAATATACATTCTCATTACAAACATAATTTGCTTCAGTATTTTGTTTAGCTCTCAGAATTTTTATCATACGAAATATGAATCTTTCAAGTACTGTAAAGTAAGTCTTAAAATATATAGTCCCTGTAATGATTTCCTTTTAAGCCTATAATCTATTCAACAATGATAAATTACACTGAATTAAATATTGTTGCGAGAATTAGTTCAAGAACAATTAGCATTAAAATTGGAATAAATTGAGTACACAGTAAAGACATAATGAAATGGCATTTCCATGATAAAGAAATCATACGCTACTAATATATTAACGGTTTCATTCAAATTCGCAATTTACACCAAGCAATTAACTATTTTATTAAAAATGAAAGATAACCTAAAATTTTCATGTAGTAATGAGAAGTGGGTAATCATTTTCGAAATTGCTGCGCAGATAAAGAGTGTAAACGAGAGAAAGAAAACAACTGAATTTTTCTCAGGTAAACGAAACAATAGATTAATCGCATAATAAAATTTGTAAAGAGGGAGACGGAGGAACAAATTCCTCCACTCCTCATTTCTTGAAAACAGATTGGCATATTAAAGATATAATTGGTATGTTTAACTAGGCTTATATTTGTTTGAATTCTTTTTAGATAAGTATTGTCACTAACGTGGCAACGCCATTCCTTACCATAAAATTGTATTTCCAGTTCATTTTCTTGATCAGTTTGCGGCTTAAAAACAAATTAATTCTCTAAATTTATTTACATTTCTGGTTTTCTACATATATATACATTTCTTTTCTACATATATTTCAATTACAAGTTGACGACACAGAGTGTGTTACTTTTTCTATTTAATCTGTAGGACTGTAACTTACAATTAGGAGGTTGGAGAGGGCTGTAAGAAGGAAGGAAAAAAGTATTTCGTCCGGGACCTACTGGAAGACATCAGTAATGCTATTTGTCTATTTAGAGAATTTTGTTATCTTTTATGTTGATTTTTTAGGATCCAACCTTCAGACAGTTTTCCATAGTGAGCGTCGCGACCTGTTTATATAATCGTGCTTTAGATATCAGGATAGAAAAGGTCATATTGAAAATTGTATTTATGGGAACAGGTAGATGGGACGACCGCCTGTGAGAAAGTGTCGTAGACTTCAGGTGGCAGAGTAGGGAGTGTACCTAAATCTCACTTTAGACGAGAAGACTAACTTTCAGTTCCCTGATGAGTTATGCACTGCTGAAAATTGAAGTTTATACAGGTATTTTCATTTATCGTTACGGAAGTGTTACTATTCAATCTATTTATCTTCTCTCAACTGAAATGAATTTCAAGACAACTTTGTATAGTCACTAAGGTAACAGGATGCTAAGCGAAGAAAATAGTAGTTCGAATTTATACAACTAGACGTGATTCGTATGGTATTGTCTCATCGTGATATATCTATGATAGCTTCATAAAAATGTAATCGTCATTTATTTAGAATAGTTGATCGTCCTAAACGACATTTGCGACACGTACGAAAGTTTTTGCTATTTTTGAGGATTCAAATATTTCATTTACTTTGGATATATTGATTCTATTTCCTGCTGAATACGAATGATTTTATTCTCAACCCCGGAAATCTACGTATTTTTAATATTATTGAACATTTTTGTAACATTCTTTTTCTGTTATTTTTTAGACACCTTAAGAATTGATGATTTTCATTTAAGGAAAGAACATGGAAATGGAAACATTATTGTGAATTGTTTGGGGAGGAGACCTATTTGACAGAGCCAAAACCTACAAAATCATGAATGCGTAAAAAACGTTTCTTTCTGCAATTCTATAAACTATGGCACAGATTAAAAGAGTATACCAGTGTTTCATTTATATATATATCGACAGACAGGATTAAACCTCGGTGGGGTAATGCAGTAATATCAGTTATCGATACGACAACTGAACATATCCATAAACAGACAATTCGTGGTCAAGGGTAAAAGATAATGTTGAAAAGTTTAAAAATTTCTGGGCCGAACAGCACTCTGTTCTCGCTCATGTTGAGCCTTTCAATTGGACGTCTGTAATGTGTAAGACTTCGAGTACAGTATTAGAAATATTTTAATATTACAAGTTTAAGCATTAAAGTATTTCTATGAGTATGAAAAATAAGTTTTCGTGTTCATTGCTGAGGTGAAAGAGTACGGTAAAAGAAGCTGTCTTCGCTATATCATAATTGTACGTATGTTTTTATCTAGTAGTTTGGAAGATAATGATTTGATAGCCGTGAAACAGTATTCAGTCTCATGGCACTCTTAAAGTCTTATTAGGTATATTTTCAGAAGCACATGTCACTCTCAGTAGATAGCCAAATTTCAAGATTCGTTTCCTTTCATTCGTGTTCTGCTTCCAAAATCATTTTAAGCAGATTTGGTAAAAGCAGGCAGACCAATTTTACTCGGTTGTAACAACAACACCCGAAAGATTCATATTGCTGAAGAAGAAATTTGCCACCAAATAAGCGACTCATCGAAGAGGGGAAGGGCATGTCGCTTGGTATGTCGCTTAGCTTTGTTTTTCTCCGATCCATTAGATAGATTACTTTCGTGTGTCCGATAGAAATTACGACCTTCAAACAATTTTATATTCTGTGATTTTTCAGCAAGTTCCTACGTAAGAAATTTTACATCGAAAAACCCTTCATCCTCAATTAGAGTCTTAGCGAAGACGAAGGACCTCACTAAATCGATTGTTCTCGCTATTCCAAACATAGGGTTCAAGATATTTCTCTATATGCGTATTTTCATTTAAATATCGCACATAAAAGAGAAATTATGTTGTATCTTTATTCTCCTTTATCTGGGAAACCAATTTCCAGTTTCATTCGAAAGTTTGTACTGATTGAGCTCACATCGTGACGTGTCATTTGACCCGAAATTCAGTTCCAAAATCACGTGACCAAAAATAAGGGAAGAAAGACTTGTTATGGATGTTGTAACGTTGTGGGAAACGTTTTTCGGATTGTATGATAGACGACTTGGTTTCATGTCGTGATTCTTTTTTTAAATAGCTTTTGTTTTTTACGTTCGTTAACAACGACTTAATTCAAGACAGACAGTTTATAATATAATTTCCCGATCGGTGATATCTATACATCTAGTGGTGAAATTCGTTTGTTAATAGTTTGGAAATGATTTGTTCCGTCTGGAAAGCATAAAATAATGACGCGGTGTCTCGGTCGGTGAAGCTTGTAGCGCGATTGTGAAGGAAGGTTATTTTTGAGTTTAAATCTTTTAAAGTATTATTTCCTTAGAACTTCCTCCCTACTTATAGGGATGTTTTAGAAACTCGATATTTCCGAAGGGTAATGTAGCAACACGTACCAGTTGCCAAGATTTTTAACCTGAAGGAATACCATGATTCTTCTGAAAAAGCGGACATTTCGCGTCAATGCAGGTAATGCTACACTTTTAGCGCGAAGAGGTGCGCAAAGGGCATATAGTAATCGCGATACCAGAGTACCATGCATTAGAATATCAATTTTTTGAAAGCAATCGATCAATATGTATTCCGAGCATACTAAAAAAATACTTGAACTTTCCGGGTAAAATACACACGTTCTACAACGTTCAAAACATTAGACTCCTCTCTCCAGTTTACCAAGTGTTGACATTATTCAACCCTCAAACATCAGACATCCTTAAACATCCATATGGTATACATCTTCAAACATTCGAACGTTACACATTAAACATACTTAACACGTACAGTAATACACATACAGAAGATCTGTTGGGGGAATTGACAGAGTCAACTTAACAGTAGCGGCGTGTCGACCGTCAGTTAATGATGATGGTTATGGTAACAATGAATACCCTATATATATCTTTCTCTTCTCCTCTCATTGTCAATCCTTGGATTTATAGTAATAGGGTGCAAAATTCAAGGTCCCGTGTTTATGATATTTTTATAGTGAAATTCAGAATGAAGCGGATTAATTCCGTTATGTTAAAATAATAATAATAGTTAAGCTTTCCTTAAGTAAACATTTTTATTCGAATAATTTTTTAATAAGATGCTGATACAATACATACAATATTAGTAATTATAGTTTACATCTTCGAGTAAATTAGCTTCGTTATAAAATTGATCATGTCCGATTGTACATTTCATAAAAAGAAGTTGGCGCAGGTAAGTGGCGAAGAGGTAGTCTGAACACGAAGGAAAAGATCAATTTACTTCTACAAGATATTTATTTGCTGTAAAATACGTACAAACTTTATGTAGGTCTCTTACTGTCTACAATACAGTGCTGTTCATTGCCATGTTCTCTGAGCAATATCGCACGACAGGAAGATATAAATTAGACAATTTCATAGGAACAATACGGCGATATTGCCACAAGAAGCAATAATGTGGTGCACAAGTAATTCTACCTGACCGAAATACATAATTCTACCTCTCTAAGGTTAAATTAGCATTCTATGTAGAAGTAACATGACTCGTATGTACAATGTACAGAGTGTACGAAAGTAAGTGTCAGGATCACCACAGCGCGATTCTATAGCTCCGGGACGGTGAAGATTTATTAAAAGAAGTAGCACCAAAATTCACCATCACCATGAAATTCAACTGTATTGTACTCGTCACGGTGTAAAAATTGAAAAAGAAACGACGTTAAAGTTCCATTGGCTCTTGCACCGATGTTATTTATAATATGTTTATATTTCGCAGTCAGATAGAAAGTAAATAACGTGATATTAATCAGGAGACAGAGAATTATTTCTTAGCATATTAATATGACATGTGATTCTAATTATTAGTATATAATTATTTAAAAATTGAGTCACATGACCTCTGCACGTAACCTAATGGTACCCACGGTTTTATTTTTTCAGTTATACACAAAAGTATTTGTACAAAGCCTTTTTTAATACAATATCGTAAACTTGTCAATAAAAATGCACACACATTCATTATAAAAGATCAAGTCGTAGTTTTGGAAATTAATGTACATAATTAGTTGTAGAATAGATAAAAATACGCAACGTACGTTTTTCGGGAAACCGCTAGACTTAATTCATTCCTGAAAAAGACAAAGCTATTAAACGTATAGTATCGTCCAATTTCTTTGTATCAACAAACACGTCTATTTAAAATATGTTTCGAAATATTAATCTGCTAACTTGGAAGAAAGCGTCAACTCGTTACAATATTTTGAGAATCTTTTACTTTTAATGCATTATAATCTTATTACGATATAGTTTACATTCGTTTAGGTCCAAATTGGCCTATGTGAGATTAGCTTTTTTATTTATACGCTTACCACTGCCACGTTTCAACGGATTTCTGACTGTGAGATATTTTATTTGATAGGGATTATCTAGTTTAAAATATTTAAAATGCAGTTGTACGAAATGTAATACTAAATATTTATTGCTAAATCACTTGATTTTTAAATCAATTACATTTATTGCATCGTTACTAACACTGTCGTTTTTCAGATTAACGATGAAACCATAAATTGGAGCCATTCAAGGTGCCAACGCTAGCTAGTATCAGTGGTGAGTAAAAATTGAACCTTTTGCATTATATAAAGTCGTTTCATTAATATTTTTGAAATTATAAATATATCGCATATTTGTAAACAGTATTGGGGAAAATTTTCCGTACTTCTTAGATAATAAAAAACAAGTTAAAATAATATTTTGTTTGTGAATGGGAATTAAATTTCGTATTTAAATAAAAGTCATTTAAACGATATCAAAAATTATTTATTTTCTATTTCTTATTTGCAAGCGAAATTTTATTTTTTATTTGGATTTGATTGGAAAACAAATGACAACGTATGAACAAATAACTTTTAGTTTTGCCTTATCTATTCGTTTATCTAGCAAGTTGCCCGAAAGCCTATTTGATTTTGACGCACAAAATTATAAATTGTAATTCACAGTAATGTTTTGTGATTAAACCGATATGTTTGGGTAAAAATACATTTGTCCAACTACCGATAAATGATGAATGAAAAATAAAATTAATTTCATCATTTTAAGTAATGTATTTAGACTTGTCTAAGTAATAAATAATCTATTTTTTATTTGAATTCTCCAATAACAAATGCCCCTTTATTTGAACAATTATTTCAATGAAAATTTATCGAATAACGTCCAATATTATTTGGTAAATATTTATCCGAGACTGTTAGTAGCACTCTGCATCATATTCTATCCTACGAAGAAATAATTTTGAATAAATCAAAAAGTATACATCTGTGCGATAACAAAGTTTGTAATCAGTTATGCAATAGACGAAATTATGTAGACTTTCTGTGATGTTCGTTTATGACATATTGCAGTGTAAATGTTGTACGTGCAGATTGGTCGCTTTACTGTTTAATGTCTGCAAAAGTTTCCGCTCGTTTATCTTTTTAGGCGACCACTTAATTTTCATTGAGTTCGTTAAATTCATTTCCAGCGAAATGCTTGATGTTCTAGCTCACACTTGGAGCACATAGTTACATGTGTGCGTATCAGCGCGCGGTATGTGCTGATATATTCAGCTGCTCTCTTCCACTGAACTTCGTTTGAATATAGTCTAGATTCATTCTGGCACGAGTGGATGGTTCGGAGATTTATAGGGGAAGGTTGCACCATTGACGAAATCCGCGGTAATACCCGTGCCGGTCCATAGATACCGGTTACATAAAAATCCCAGAGCATAGAATTTCTCTGAATTTAGATTAATGACGCCCGATATTTTGATAAATTCCAATAGCGATCCTTAGTAGTTTGGAAATACAATTTCCTGTGCCGCAGACGGTTTCTGCCTTTCGCGTCTACACGCGCATTAGACAATAGCCACGTAACAATATTTTTAAATTAATATATTTAAATATTATCTTTTAAGATTATCGGTAGAAATACAGACCGAGTCAGTATAAGCTATTACCTGAAATAACCCGTTATCTATTGATTTTATTCAAAAATGTTTCAAGTGAAATTTATCATAAAATATTTAAGGAGAACGAGTACCTTACGACTTTTCAATACCTTATATTTTTTGAAATGATTATTAAGGCGACTATTGAATGTTTTAAACGGCACTTTGTATTTTCCATACGATTAGTCGATCCAGTTGGACAAGGAAAGACATACATAGAAAAGGAGAAATAGTACATTTATTCCGCTTTTCCTTACCTTTTATGCAGTGCATTTGATAAATTCAATACTTTTATGCTTGCAGTGCAATACCTTTCTTACTTTGTATGATACTTTTGTTTATGCTAGAATAAAAGCTTTTCTATTTAACCACAATATCATTAATTACCAGAGCTGATGTAATAGGTACGACCAAAGCTTCAAAGTAACAGATAATAATAGTTAGAGCTATATATTTTTGTCAATAAATACAAACGATGTTAAAAAATGCAATTAATAAATCATCTGCTCGTTGATAGAGTTTGAAGAATTCTATTATTAGAAAATACGTGGAACTGTTTCATAGAATTCATGACATAAATAATCTGTGTATACTAAGAATTTATTGCACTTTTAATTCTAGCAATTGATATAAGTCGGACCTTCAGTTTCTCTGATTCAAGCGTGTGCGTACTTAGCTTGAATTAATCCAAAATGGTGCTACAATTCTGAATTTTATTATTACAAATTTTGTTTCATTAATATGTAGGGTGTCCTGCTTAACTTGAGCATCTTAAATATCAGTGGAAAACAATATCTGACTGAAAGAAGCAAATGTTATATGCAAAAGTTTGTCTCGTGACAGATTTTTTACATGCAACTACATATTTTCCAACCTTCAACGACCTAAAGTGACTTTCACGTGATCTTAAGTACGAAAAATTCACAAAAGTAGGACAATTGCTGGAAATACTGAAATAACTATGATGAAAAGATTAACGGAGGAAAATTTACTTTAGCATGTGCTCGAATTAAACGATTTTCTGACTTTTCTTGTAACTTTCTCACTGGTATTAGCACGTGCAGTTTTAATACGTTCCTTCGTATTTCCAGCGTTTCCAAAGAAAGAAACGCGTAAGATCTGGTAAAGTCGGAACAGGCTGTTGAATATCTGCGCTACGACCGATCCGACGTTGCAGGAATTATCGGGTTTGACGATCTACTGATACATTTGGAGCCGAATATCCGTCATGTTGAAACTACGTTCGATATCTTCATGGTGTGGAAATGTTCTCTAATAGATCGACTCGCTGATAGCTGAAAAAACTTACACATTGTTCATCACTCGAAGTGACATCGATAAAAAATGGTCGAATAATACGATCACCAAAGGTACCATATCGTATATTTACGCTTTGTGGGCGCTGATGTACGGCTTGACGAAGCTATTTCGGATTTTCAGTATGCCAATAATGCATATTATGTCTATTCAGTCGTCCATGATTGATACAAACAAACTCATCAGTAGACAGCGGACCTTTATACGGATGTAATATATCGAAATATGCAAAATACATGCAAAATGTATGCAAAATATATGCAACGAAATTTGTGTTGCAATTTAAACTATAGTACGTTGCAGTAGTTTTTTTTCAATTATCGATTATAGCTTTTTGCGCGTAAAGGAAGTTTTAAAAAACCTTTTTCGTGCTTAATATCGACTTATGCGCTGCCGGTGATTGTAGTCGGGCCTCCTCTGCTATTCTACCAACATATTTCAACTTTTAACACATGTTTTGCGGTATCCGTAACAGGTAGTAACATCTTTTTTCGGAAATTGGAAAACGAATTTAAAGAACGTGCAGTACTTGCATAATTCGTTTCGGATAATTATATTCAGGCCAACAAACGAGACTGCATTTTCTCATTTTTACAAAGCTCCCCTACAATCGAATTTGCGATAGACCGACCGGTTTCATTTCATCCGCAAACATTCAGATATAATTGTGACCAATATTTTTCCGAACGCTTTACTATTGAGACGTTTCCAAGGCAAAATTATTTTTTCTTCTCGACGAACTCGCCTCATATTTTGGATCGTTGTTTAAAGTAATAGCAGTACGTTTATCACGCTGTGTAACATTTTTTCCTGCGCACACCTGTATCACGGTGTTGTTTCATTTGCAATTTTCTATCGCGTGCAATCTGCTTGTCACACATTTTGCAATAAGCGTCTTCTGCCTGCGCAGTAATACAATTATTTGCCAGTGCAGTAATTCAGTTAGACACCGTTACACGTTTGCAATCTTCTGACTTGGGCATCTTCTCAATATTTAAATTCTCAGTCGTGAGTGTTTCACTATTAACACTATCGAATGGCTCGTGTAACTGAATTATTCAAATCTCTTGCGGTATAATACCGAACTGTAAGACAATTCGCTAACCAGGAGAACACGGTACAAAACAAAGATGAAGTAATTGAAGCGGCACGGAAAGTAGGAGCGATGTTGCTCGATGAAATTACCGATAGATAATTGTACCAGAGTAGAATTTTATTTATCCGAATTGATGACATTTATCAGATACGTTCCTGAGCTCTTATTATCCGAATTCAGGCTGTAAGGATTTTACCTTAGCATTTACAAATTTCAGCTTAGTTAAGTCCAGTTATATGAAAATTAACTCCGATTATGGGAATGATAAACAAGGAAGGATGGGAGAACTAGTAGACTCCTATTATCCGACTGATCCAGTTATCCAACACGGCAGTGTCGGATAAATGGAGTTTTACTGTAAAATAACAGATTACTTAATCTTTCTCGCTTATCCTCACTTAATAAATTGTCAACTAAATATATACATATTCAGAATCTATGTATTTATGCAAGAAATATGCACTTAAGCAAAATACATGCGATATACGAAAAACGCAAAATAGCTACTATGTTTTTAGAATCTCGTAATGACGAAACAAAGAACAATCGAAAAAATCGTCCATTTTCTAGTCACTCGATTTTAGAACCGAATTTCGTAACAAATGATGGTATTCACGTATTTAGATTTATTTTTAGCAAGTTTTTTATCGTTTTTCGGGAAGGTGGTAATGATACTTTTTGTTTTTTGGAAGACACGCTTATAGGTGTTGTGTGAATTTTTCAACTCCAAGCGATGCCGAAAATAGTCATTTTATAACATCCTTCGTTCTCGTCGCAGCTGATGATTATTTTTTCTTAAAAGCATTAATGCAGGTTTCGACTATGCTGTTACGATATAAATGAAAGTCCTAAGGCTGTTATACGCTTCCGGTTGCGATAGGACAATAGTGACGTAAAAAATGTTAACTTGTTAGTAACACAGAATCGTAATTTTAATAAAGCCGCTTAAAACGTACGTAACGAGCACACTAATATACGCCGGTTTAACAACGGATAGGTGGCGAAGGTGGACACACCAATATCAAGACCTGCTTTTATCTTTACTCGTAACGAGAACGTTAATACGATGCAATATTTTGCTGTAGCAACGTTTTATCCTTCACAAATGGGCTGCGAATCAGCCGTTAAACTTATTATCTATAATCATACATCGATGATTTGTGCTTGAATGTACGTTAACGCGTGAACTTTCGATAGGGAACAAGGACCAATCAATTTCTCTAAAAGTGCCAACATTATTAAATATGCTTGCCACGATTAAATACTTAGCTGATTA